TTAAATGAGCATGTAATGGGGAATTCTCCTGAAAGAGTCCATGTAAAAAAATATGCCTGAGGCGTGAACTCTGCTTTCTGTCATCCAGAGATAAATTGAGAAGAACTCAAGTGAATGGAAGTAGCTCACATTAAAATCACTGTAATGATAGTAGGAAAAAAAAAATCACATAATGCTATCAAAAACCTTTTTTTTTTTACTTTTTGACACACAGAAATATTTTGCTGCTTATTCCATATTTCCCATTTCTGAAATATAGACTTCACTGTAAGCAATGAGTTCAAAAAAGTGCCTTTGGGGCCTTGCTTAAGTAGGGGCTGCAGATGACTTTTAAGGAACTATAAAATCAGAAGGGCAAATGGTAATGGCCAACTTGCAAAAGAAAGAACAGACACAAAGACCACCTAAAAGGTAGTGATGGAGGTTTGTTCTGCTATGGATTTGTTACTATATATCTGACTCAGTGTTTCAAAAAATGACAGCATGATTAAGGTTGGAAGGAATCTCTGGAGGTTGAGTTGTCCAACCCAGCCCTGCTCAAGCAGCACCACCTGGACCCAGTTGCCCAAGACGATATCCGGGACCATACCAAGGATAGAGACTCCACCACCTGTCTGGGCAACCTGTGCCAGTGCTTGGTCACCCTCACAGTGAAATTATTCCAAGCACAGAAATAAGTTCCACCCATATCTTCAAATGATCTCTCAACAGAAAAATGAGACTGAAACAGTTGAAATGATCATTGGCTACCTGAGAAGGAGCACAGCCACGAGAAATGAGAAAATTGCTGTGAGATTTTACCTGGGTACTCTCCCCAGGTCTGGACCTGATATTGCACAGAAGTATGTAGAAATGTTCCCGAATCAGGAAAAAAACTGGATAGTAAAGCTAATGGTGCCTGTTACATATTGTGTCTGGTCTTTGGGTAAACTGATCACTTGCCAGAAAGAGATCTCTTTTCACTGTGGAAGAAAACAGATTAGGAAAACGTTTCCAAAGATATTTAGCGATGGGAGCAGACTTTGCAGAAGTTTGCAGGTACTCAGAGAGTTTTGGGAAGCTTTTCATGATAAAATGTTTGGGTGCTGCAGGACACCTATCGAAGCTGACTCCCTGAAGAAGAGAGAAGGGGGGCCAGAAGGGGGGTAAGCAGCTGCCTGAGGATGCGTGCCCAAGAGCAATAACTCTTGGGCTTTAACCTCTGTAGTGCCTGATGAAAAGCTTTACAGGGAAGAAAGAAATGTACTGTGTGTTTCCTTCTGAACTACGTTACCAGAAAGATGACTAACTGAGCTACCTGGCAACTTTTAGGAAATATGAAATGAGTTCATCTGCAATTGTAGTTTTGTGAAGCTGCATTTTCAGGGCACAGATGTTTTGCTTCCACCCATACTATCAAGCAATAAAAATCTGGATGATCAAAAGGTTATATTAAATAAAACCCAAACAGAAAAAGAAACACCCCAGACTTTATGTCTTTTTAGACTGTGTGCTTTCCCCCTCCCTTAATGTTGGTTTCTGACCCTTTAAGATGTAACTGGGTCGTGGGTTTCGGTTTCTCAGTAGAGTCCCCAAATTGCAAAAATCCTATTGACCTAAAAGTTTCTTCTGAAGTAGTAGGGCTTGAGATTCTCAAGTGATGCCCTGATTCCAGACATGGGGAATAAATGGAGTACTGAATGGGCTAAATGAAATCCTGTCATACAGGTAGGCAGCACTCCTTGTACACATGCATTTGAATGCCCTTTTCCTTGCACATGACTGTTACCAAGTACATGGAGGTGGCACGGTAAACCCACAAATTATAGTGTTTTTGTTTGTTTGTTATTTGAAAGATCCCTAAATAGGGAAGAGTACTTGAGTTAGCTGTAAGGTCTTCAGAAGTTCTCAGTGTCTCTTCAAAAAGAAAAATCCCATTTTTTAAAATTAAGCTGAGGTTTAGTTAGGATTTGAAGATGTAACCTAGGTATCCAGTGTGGCAATAGTGAATAAGTTCCTGATTCTTTTTAATGGCTTTGTAACAATAATTGTAAACCATGCTTTGACTACAGTAAATCTTAATGTATGCCAGTAAATAATCTTGATAAATTCGCTTCCTTACGTGCATGAACACAATTTTATATATTGTACTGGCTACTACTGGCAATATCAGCTAAAAAATCTCATAAGAGTTAAGAATTTAGGACTCACATGAGATGAATTCACTGTATCTGCTGTATTACTGTAATTGTGTTACTGTGTATTGACACTACACTACATCTTACTCAAAATTGCATATTAAATTCTTCATTTTTAAGCAGATTGACCTGCAAATTCATAAACTAATGTAACAGATTTCCCTGGAATAACCACAAGGTCTCTGCTTCCTTACAGAAAATGCATAACACTGTTACAGTGAACTGTAAAGCTGGGAATGTCGAGCTTGCACTGACTTCCTCTTCCATCAGGGGAGCAGACCCAAACCTTTGCGGAGATATCTTTAAAATAGTCTACATTTCTTTTGACTAATGATTTTTAGTGTTTGAGGGAGGCCTGCAGGTTGGCGTGCCTGAAGAAATTTGTTGCTGTGGTACCCTATTTCTCACTTGACAGCCTTTCCTCTGCCTTTGCATCCTTATTAACTGAGCTGGTCATGCTCTTTGCAGCCTCACTGGTAACAGTGACCCAGAGCTGCAGTGACAGCTGGGAGGAGAGGACCTTCTCATGGTGCTGATAATACCCCGGTGTTTCGTAGTGCTCTGCACATTTGCAGAGTCTCTCTGCCCAAGCAAATTTCTTTTCACAACCGAAGACTAATCACCTACTGGGCTTGGAGATTAATTTTATTAACAGGCACGTAATGAATCATTAACTTTGACTTGTGGCTTGATCTCACGCTACTCCTATTCTCTTATGGCAAGTGGAAACATTTTATAATTAGCAAATGAAGTGAAAATGGGATTTAATAATGAATTATGAAGTATGAAAATCATGTTGTTGTTTAAATAAGTTAATAGTTGGAGGAGGCGTTTTTTTCAAATTGTTTTTTCAAGCTTTTTTCTCTCTAGTTTTTGATTAATTTTTTCTCAGCATTTTAAAATCTCATTTGTTTATTATACTTGGTATATAGATTATTAGTTGCTCAGCAGATAATTTGCACCTCTAAATTTTACATTGACAGTACAATTGCAAAAATTTTGTTTGTGCTTTAGGATGTAAAACCAGAAAATAACAATCCTCAGATAGTTCTGTCAAAGCAGAATATTTGAGTGAATGAATCTTCATTTCTGGCTGTGCAGGCATAGTGCTCATTAATGGGAGCAAAGGGAGAGCAACCCACCTAGCAATCCATTAATGGGGCTTTTTAGCCTTTCTGTTTATAAGGAAACATAATGAATGGCCCATTAGGTTAGAAAATTATGCAGAGAGCCATGGTCCTCTGGCTTTTCCCAAAAGAAGGCTAGTAGGGCATCCAGAGAGTCTGCTGACTTGGGCCCTATATGTTAGTCCTAGCAGCTACGGATGGTGGACAGAGGTTTATTGAATTGTCAAACTATGTGGAAACGGGGACCGTATGTTTTGTCATTTTGTCACAAAAATGCAAATTGTGAGCAGAAGTGGGAATCCTCTAAATTAATAGAGAAAAAGAGGCGGGATAGCTGGTGTCTGTTAATATTGAATTTCTTACAGTTTATTACAAATGTTTTCTGCACATCTGACAATGATTTGATACGGACTGCAATTATGGCATGAATATGTGCTCTATTTTAATTTGAAATCCATAATGCTGTAACAACAAAGTAGTGGCTGATTTACACATTTGGTTTAATTTTCTGTAGTGAAATAAGATGAGGCTGAGGTTTTTGTTTTAAAGTTTGTAGAGGACTTCTATTTACAAAATCATTGACTTCCTTAAATTCTACCTTTTGATTTCTTTCCCACTGCTCCGTTAATGCCAGTGAAAGCTTGTTGTCCTGTTTGTGTAGGTCTCTAGACATGAGCTCTTCCTACCAGTACTGATGTTGGCAGCTCTTTCAGCATGTTGCATAAGGCTTGTGTTCCTTGATAGATGTATTATTATTTTTAAAAGAGTTTGTGCATTAGCAGCCCCTCAGTTGGGTGATAGCAGTGTATGAATCTTAGCTCAGTACGTGAGGCCATTGGTCACCCTATCAACGTTGGTTGAACAGAAAACATTACAGGTTTGGCTCTGGGAGTGGTGCAGGCCAGAATGTTATTTATTGACAGCTACGAGGCATTGGCAGTGACCAGCTCAGTTGCAAAAGTTGCTTCTTAAAATTCTCTTTCTGCACAGGGTGAGGGGATATATGATTCTGTTTTTTGTACAAGGTGAGAACATGGAACAGCATCATACCACCTTACAAACCTGAAAATGTTGAGCTTTTAACCAGTGGGGCTTGGCTTTTAAAATAAATGAAAAAATGTCTGTATGAATTTAAATCAGTGAACTGATTGATACTCTTATGATTGTTCTGGAGAATTTTTCTCACATAATGCTGATGAGGTAAAATTTAGTTTAAGCAAAACATCACATGTCCCTCCCTTTACTGATTTTGCTTATTAGGAGTGAGGAAACTCTTGAGTGTTTTGTTTTTTAAAATTTCTACCATTTTTTTCCTTACTTATAAAGATGGACAGGCTTCACTAAGTGGCAGTGTTGCCGGAGGTCCAAACTACTGAAGGAAGCAAATTAACATTCAGTATGGTAATTTGTTTTCCCTGTCCTTCAGTCACAGTGAGGAGAGTCTAAATATTTCAGTGACTGAGACTTTGGATTCCCATTCCTTGCTACACAACAACAACAAAAGCTATTTATAGCAATAACAGTTAGCAGCGATACAGCAGCCTCAGACAGCTATGGGCAGCATCTCATCATGACTGCAAATGTTAACTGCTTTTGCACTGAATGCCTCTGTGAAAACAAAGAGCACTGAGAAATAAAGATCAAAGCAAAACCAAAAGAAAGATTTTTTTATTGCTATGTTTTACTTTGCTGGCAGACCAGAGCAAAGGTTTTCTGAACATTTAAAAGATGAAAAAGGTGAAGAATCCCAGAAGCGATTTATCTTGAAGCGAGATAACTCTAGTATTGATAAAGAAGACAATCAGGTTGGTTCTCGGTTCGAGAGTTGCTGAAATTTGTTCTGTTTTTGAAGGTGGGCTGACTGATGTTATTGTTGTTCTTTTGTTGTTGCTCTCCTCCTCCCCTGCCCTCTCCCTGCCTCCTTTGGCATACGTACCACCATGGGTGGCATCAAGCCCCAGCGTGGCCGCTTCAGCCGCTTCAGTGTGGGGTTGCATGGGTGGTTTGCTTGGCGCAGGACTTGCTGCATGCCACGGGAGGGGGAATGCCGGTGGCTCTGGGCTGCGTGGAAGGCTGTGTGAGTCGCATTTCTCAATGTCTTGCCTAACTATGGCAGTTGTTACACTCCCTATAGCTCCCTCCTTCCATTGTACCCACTCAGAGTTGGATTTCAGTATGGACCAATGATAAACTGATGTAGCCCATAAAAGAGGAGAGGGAAAACAAACAAACAAAGAAACAAAAAGTCCCAAATAAACATGTGATGGTGAGGCTAGGTTGATTTTTTTTTTAAACCTTCCTAAATTATGTTTTGATCAAAAATAAATCAGGTTCATCTTTTACTTCCCTTACTCCTCCAGTGCCTTCACCACCTTTTACTGTCTATGTAACTTACTTGCTTGTGCATGTACTGTGGCAGACGTTTCCCCTCTGTGTTGCCTGTGCCATAACACTACCTTACCTTAGGTGAGCCTGATGAATAAGGGAGTGCCAGGGAAATGTGTGTGTTTGTGCTGCCTTTAAAAGCGGGTGTTGTGCTGTTTCAATCCAGTGCAAGCTGTGTATGTGGAATATATTAACAAAAAAATAATCTGAAAGGGTTCTGACATGATTTGCTTTTATGAGAAAATTATCACAGGTAAGAAGACAGCATATGCTTTCTTTGCTTAGGTTATATTTGTGGAGGGAACTACCAGTGAGTCTCTTGTTGCCACTTTGCTTCATGTTTTCAGTAATAAAGGACTGATTTTTCCCTTCCTTTTTTCCTTTTTGCACCTTCTTTTTCCTTGACTTCAGTTTACATAGCAGCCTTGCCAGCTGTGCTGCATCCAAGCTGGTTTTGAAAACAAACCCCAAGCAATTTCAGGGTGTGGTGAACATGGGGATCAGCCAAAGAAAAGCAGCATGACCGATCTGACCAAGTTATGGTGTGCAGGGGGAGAAGGAGCAGTACTCGAAACCCAATTGCCAATGAAGCATTTCCTGGCAGGGGGTCAATTTCTCTTCTTCCTACCATGGCACAGCCATTGCCCTCACTGTGGTTTACCAGGAGGCACAAATGGCCCTTCTTTACCCAGCAAAACTGAAGTAGAGGATTCCTTACAGTGTGGAAATGGTTGAAACTGTCATCCTGAATATCTGGGACTTCTCCTTGTACACACAGACTTTGTGGGTTTCTTCTAGGGTTTGCAGTTTAGCTCTTGCAGCCTAGTTACCCTCTTTTCTTCCTTGATTTTGTAGGTGGCACGCCACTTCTTGCCCTCCTGCTCCTCACAGCTGGTAGGAGAATCCAGAAATGTTAGCAGCTGAGAACAATGGCACTTAGACTTGGGGTGCGAACACTCGATTTTAGGATGGCAGGTCCCCAAAAGCTGTGCAGAAAGCCTCATTTTGGCCACCTGCTCTACAAATCCATATGCAGTATCTAACTGGAAATCCTCAAGTGCCCAGTCTGTCAGGGTGCTTCGTGCAGGAGTGACAGCTATCATTTTTGTGCTTCATTTGTTTAAGTGAACATTTATTATTCTCAGATGACAGTTACTTAATGGCAGTTTTTAACAGCTCAACTTATATAATCCTCCTGGTTTTCTTTCTGCTCAGCAAAACAGAATTCTTCCATTTAGAGATGACAGACGAAGTAAATCAATTGAAGAGAGAGAAGAGGAGTATCAGAGAGTGAGGGAGAGAATATTTGCACAAGATGTGAGTAGTTGTTTTAATTGCCTCTTTAGTGCCATACCTTCGCCCGGTAGTCAGAAAGTCTTGCCCCCCTCCTACAACAACACTGCAGTTGGGCTTGCCTTGTGGAGCTGAAGGTGACAGGGAAAGCAGATTAGTGCAGAGGGCCCAAGAGGAATTTAAAAGGTGTGGAGATTGGCTTCAGGAGAATGAGGTGATGAGAGTTGCAGGGAGAAGGGTAGAGGAGGTATCAGGCCCAGCATGTTGTCTGGGGAGTGCTTATCCTGTTTCTTTGAATGTTCATTTTGTCTAGGTTTACTTCTTGTTTCCTTCTCTTTTGCTAACCAAGGAACAGTGATTTAAATGGACACTCCCAATAATTTCAAATAGCTGCGTTATTTTATATTTCATTTGAAATAAAGTGTCCTTTCACAAAGTCTCCTTATGGTTTTTGTTTCTTCAGACCAGTGCTGTAGGCCAAGACACTGAGAACAAAGAAAAGGCAGAGTTTAAGCATGAAGTTGCACTGGTTTTTTGAAATGACTGATTAAAGAACTGTATTTCTGCCATCAGAAAATTGGTCATGCTGTTGATGATTATATTCTGAAAGGAATAAAATGAAACAGACGTCGTCTTAATTCTTGCCCTTACAAAAAAATCAGAACTTGCAAAGCTAGGTAGTTTTCTAGAGGAAAACATTTAAATGTGAAACATCTGTGAGCAATACCTGATGTTCCTGAAAAAAGAAGAAAATCAAAATTTGCTATAATACTGTAATTTTTTTATCTCAGTTCTGCCACTTAGAAATATGGGAATAAACCCAATTAAAACTGTTTTTGAAAATCATATTTGGCAGTGTCCTTTTAAATTAAAACTGCTCATATGTTGCAGGGCTAATAGTATTTATTATTTGGATTTGGAATTGCACACATCCATGTTATTTTTCTTTAGCAGAATACGCTGTATATTTTTAAGGTTTGTGTTGTGTCACTTGTGTTAAGTAATTTTGCTTTTTAGTAAATAGCTAGCTACATCTGTTTTTAGCTTCACTTCTTATTTCTTGACCGAGACAATTCCAGTGAAAGCAGAGGCCCATCAGTTTATGTTTTGCTTTCAGCATGTGGATCTGTCAAAGTCTATACATGGTATAGACTTACCAAGTTATTAAAAAGCTACAAAAGCTTCTTTGCAACCTGTTTCTTATATGAAATTTTGGGAGTTTGACATATTGAAAAGGAACTTGTGCAAAACCAAAAAATCTTTGTGTTTTGAAGCAGAATTCAGATGAAACAAAATGTTAAAAAAATATGGACAGACATTGCCAAAATAGTGCTGTTTCTATCACAAGCAGCATCTAGAAATACCAGGTCAAGAAACAGAGGTGTCTGGAAAAGTGTTGTGAAACGGCTCCACAATATATCGCTGCTGTTGTCTTTAGATATTTGAGTTTTAAAAACAGGCAAGCAGTGAGCATTTTAATTGCCCACAGCAGTAGATTGTTGTGGTCCATTGGGTTAGCGTCTTCGAGTGGCAGGACCTAAGTAACGGTGTGGTTTGTGGCAGGCATTTTAAATGGATTGGGAGTGAGCATTTTTAAAGATGAGCAATGTTAGATATCTCTCCCTCTCTCTCTCATATCCACTCATTTGCTCTCTCTCTCTGCAATTGCAGGTGTTAGTGAGCATCATAGTGCAGTTAATTTCAGCAAGCTGTACAATTAATATTATCAGGAATATATTTCTTAGCTAAGCTTTTTTGAGTGGTGCACTCCTTACAGATACAAGGTGTTTTTAGGATGATGCCTTACGGATACAAGGTGTTTTAGGATGATGTCAGTGGTTGTGGTGGTGGACAACGTTTTTTTCCCCAATTTTAGTAAAGAGAGAAATGGCTTCCTATTATAGATAGTCATTTACTGCATATATGACTTTGAAGTTTTAATGCCCTCTGCAATCGTTAATTAATCCAGTTCTCCCCAGGTTTATGTGAGGTAGATAGCTAAACCTTGTCACCCTGTAAATCACAGACATAGAAAGAGAGTCAGGAAAGGATTAATCAAGTGATATTTTTATTGCCTCTATACTGTTTTCGCTGCTGTAGTCAAGCCTTTATCAGTGCCTTGCTTATGAACCTTAGCAAATGGATTATAGGTACTTCACTTTTAATTGGAATATGCACAAAGAGAGCTTGCATGAAGTCTCCAAAGAGCAGCCATGAAGGTCTAGATTACTGCCATAACTTGTTGCATTGGACACCCCCTCTCTAAACATGTTTGAGGTACCCAAAACTCTTTAGATAACATGTCAGCCCAAGAGTCAGGACTTTGAACAAAATTTAGGAGGAAAAGGCAGTCTGGTTACAGGGGCAAAAAATTCTATGCATGTTTCAAATGCTGTAAAAAATGTCTTAACCTGGATCCCACATACCAACAAAGCTGACTTGTCCTTCCTTTGATCTTGCAGTACTCTCATGCACCAGCTCTCTTCATTTCCAAGTGGGAAGGTTTTAGCAAAATAAATATGTTCATGAGTAATGCCATCATTGTGATAGTCCTTATGATGATTAGTCTGATATTAGTCAGTTTAAATTATACTTTCTGGCAAGTTTTCCATCTACCCTGTTGGCTATCATAAATTTTGACAAGGAGAGCTGGAGGTTTTAATGAATCCTGTCATAGCAAGGAGTCATAGCAAGTGGCAGGGATTGAGAAGCACGTTAATGTGATACCTTAATAAAAGGATAGGTGAAGAAATAAATAGTTAATAAATCGTTCCAGCTTACTGAAATAAGAAATATAAAGTACACCTCAAATTTTTCAGGCTGCTAAGAGTAAGACAGAGCTGCCTGAACTCTGTTATGCTCAAAGCTATTTTCAAGGTTACTTTTTAACTGCAAAACCTACAACTTTTTAAAACATGTTTTTATTGGAAACTTAGTTTTACAACAATTTATGAACTTTACAGCTAAGTGCACTGGAGCAGAGGACCTGGAGTATCTGGGTCCTGCAGAGAGATTTCTTGTCTGAACTGCTTTAGTTGCCTTTAGGAAGTTGTAAAGTAATTGTCCAAGAAAGACAAAGAACAACTTAAAGGAGTAAAAAAATTATGTCATGGTATTTCCATGTGTGTAGATTTAACAGAGAATCTCAAATGAGGGCATGAATGATACACGATGTTTGGCTTTTAAGCCTGCAGAAAATTGATTGTAAAGACTAGCAATCAAATTACATGGGGGAAATTTCATTCTTCAAGGTTAACGCAGTGTATAACCTCATGAGCCAGAATCATGCTAGGAACACTCAGTGTTCATAAATGTATTCTCTGGGAATCATTGTGTATTCACTGAAAAATGTAGATGTTTTCTTACTTACACAAATGGTAGAATTGCCCATGGTACACATGGAATTTATTAAAGGAAATACACCATGCTTTTTATTTTTTGTTGTTAATTGTAATGGCTATTTTTGACTAAGGAGTGTATTCTAAAGAACCAGATCCTTTAGGTAAAGTAAGTCATGATTCCTCTACTTAAGAAAACAGTAAGAATCTTTATCACAGAAAAAACCAAAAGAAATACTTGAAGAGGTGGCTTCAGCCTGCCCTATCCTTGTAGTGTGAAAAGATTAGGATGAAGAAGGCATAAAATTAATAAAAACAAATCAAAGGCACAGCTGGTTTTGGCTACCATAAACCTGTAGGTACTAAAACTCCTGTACTGCTGTACAGAGCCTTTGTTTATGGCTGCAGATCAAGTACTAAGTATTAGTTGGAAGCCTGAGATTTATCACATCTTGTTAACTGACAAGAAAATTATTACCTGATGGTATCCACTGCAGGATATTGCTTCATGTTAATAGTTATCTATGTTGGCTAATGTAATTAAAAACATGAACAGCAACACCCCGTATACCTAATGCACTGGCAGAGCTGATGCACATTTTTCAGTTGAGACTTTAAAGGGTTCTTGGAAATTGGAAAAGTGAAATACTTACTTCATAAATGACAATTAGTCATACAGAGCACCCTAATGGAAATCTTGCATGCAGAGGTCTCCAAGGAGGCTAATTTGTAGGTAATCTTACATAACTTTTTTCTTTTGTAGGTTTGTTGTCAGTGTGTTTGATGGGTATACAAAAGCCAAGTGTTTTAAGGATTTTTTTTTTTTACAACAGCTATGCTGTGTATTTCAGCTTTCCTGGTGCTTTAAATTGAGCATTATTGATGCTATAGATCTGGAAAGTGAGTCCTGACCTTGTAGTAACTCAATTGCTATCCAGATCTGCTTAGCCATCTGATTTTTAGCAGTAAGAATAATGTAACAAAAAAGTGCCTGTCTTCTCTGCTTCTCAGCCTCACACCTGTATACTGAAAAATAGTTTCCGGGGACTGTGTAGCCCTTTGCCAGCCTCGTCAGCCAGGAAGACAAATGGAGTTATGGACTCTGTCTTTAAGTCTACAATGCAGTTGATAGCAGTTCCCATCAAGACACTGAAAAGGAAGCAGAGCTTTCCATTTGCTTGATAAAATATAAATCCCAAATATTTATTCTGATTTACACTGCAGTCTCTTTAAAAACTTCAAAAAAATTAAATTAATCTAGACAGGCACATGCCCCTTTGCTTTTGTAACTTTGTGAGTACACAGACCAGTACTCTAAGCAAAGGTTTTTCTGTGAGAGTAGTTGTAATGCTGCTTTGGAATCTGTCTGCAGTGAAGTCAATGCACAGAAGCCCATCATGGCACCTCAAGATGAAGACATGTCCCTGCAGTTGGTGTTGTACAAGCCCATGGGTGATTTCACTATGCTTTTGTGGGTAGTTAGACTACGCTGAAATCTGCACAACCACATTCGTTAATGAAACCTGTTGAGTAAGGTACATAAAACAAGAGAAGAGGCAATGTCGTAGTTGTACGAAGGATCCCAGTGATTTTAGATGAAACAGTTTTTGTCTTCTCTCAGCCTGGGGTGAAACTTTAGGTCTACTGTAGCTGGTGGATTTTGGTCCCTGGCGATGGAGAACTTGCTCCTGGTGCCCTGAGGCTTTGTGCTAAGGAGAGATGCACTTGCCACTGATGCAGCCGAGAGCCTTGCAAGTTTAGCAGGAGTGCAGGGTGAAAGCTTGCCTGGGAAGCCCACGGAGCTGTCAGATGTTCTCTAATGTGGATTCTGGGTGGGTGAATTACAGCTTTAATGAGAAATTGCATTGCCGTCTCAGGGATGAATTCCTTGCTTTTGTAAATTGGCTGTGGTGCCAATGGAAAACTTTGTCCAGGCGTCTGCTGGAGCACTAAGAATGAGCAGGGTGTTGCTTCTAGTGTTGGCCAGCACTCTTTTGAGTAGGTCATTTAGCTCACCCTTGTCAAAACAAACATCCAAAATCTGTGCATATCCCATCCCATTAAAATTTGACACAGCTAATGATGGCATTTCATTATTCTTTGAGCTGAATCCCATTGTTACAGAAGTAATGGGCATGATCTCTGATGCCCTCCTCCTTTTCCCTGCCTTTTGTTTAAATTCAGTGCAAGCACTGACTATTCTTTCTTCTGTACCTCACCGAGATATAATCCAGTGATAGCTATGAGGCATTTTGTGTAGTGAACATGAAATAGGAGGGAAATGAAAAAATCAAAGAGGGAGAATTATTCATGGAAAATTGAGTACAGCGTCATTTCTCTGCATAAAAATTAAGTAATGCTAAAAGAATTATACACTTGCCCAAAGGATTTACTTATTCTGAGCCCTTCACCTTTTTTGGAATTTAAGTCTTCCAGCAGGGAACCTTTTTGTGATAGACTGTGATTGGTGTTAATATTATTATTAAGAAGGTTATTATCATTTTATATCTCAGTGTTCCCTCTCCAACTGTAAAATGCGAAATCACACACTATTTCTAAGAACTGCAGTAGCTTCTCTCCCTTTGAGGAACTTTGTCAATTCTGCATGTTTTCCTTCTATTTGTCCTTTCTATCTGCAGCTCCGTGCTATTCTGCAGTCTTACTTTGATGTGGTAGGGCAGACCAGTGGAACCTTATATTATGCAGGAAAAATGAGTTTTCCCTTCAGCTTGCCAGTATTTTGCACATACTGCCTTCTTCAAATCCCACAACTGAGAAGTTTCAGTTTGTTTCCAAACTGAGACCCCTCTTTGGCAATGTGTTGTAATGCATGGAATTTATTTTACTGGCCTGACATTATTCTTGACCTTTTCTCCCCTCTTGTCTTCTGCAAATGCAAATGATGCATGAATTGAAATCCCCTTAAGCCTGAGCAGAGGAGGTAATTCTAAAATCAAGAAGAAATTGGAACAGCAGAGCATATCTAGAACGTCTGATACAATGCCTTTTTTATTTTTCAGTCAGTTTGCTCCCAGGAAACCCTTTTTGTGGAAAACAGGTAAAATAGCTTGTGTGTGTGTGTGTGTTAAATATAGCTGTTTCTCTTATTATTTTATCTATCTATAGTTCTATAGTCGTTTATCCTAATGTGAAGAATGTTGAGCAAATTTTTAATCCATATTATCTGAAGTGGTTTTATGCTTTAAGAGGGAGTAAAAGAGATTGCCTTGCAATATGATATCTGAGCAGATAAGGCGTTACTATTGCTGCTTTCCTGAGGCTTTGCATTTCAGTTGAAAAAGCAGATTGTGGGAAAGAAGGGGAGCCCACCTAAGCTTTCATTTCAAATGACTATTCTGTCTCTGGGGTGCCTTTAGAATTTAACTTATTGATCTTTAAAAAGCACTCTAGCAGTGGCTGGATGATGGCATTTATGAAACATCGGACTTGTGTTTCTGTTGTTTAACCTGCTCTCCTGTGGGGCTGAGCAGCAATGCTGACATTACTTGTTGCTTTTGAAGGCTCTCATGTTCCCCAAGCAGAATCTGCTTTACTGCTGCAGTGTGGTAATGAGACGGTGATATCTGAACCCACTGTTACTTAGCATTACTGTGTGATAGTTCTTGTGAATGTTATTTTTATTATGTTAAATCCACTTAAAGGGAAGAATAAACTGTTTTTAAGAATCTATGAAGTGTTGACTCCATAACAGCCATAAGTTGCTTAACTGTGTTAAAAATCTTAAAAACTGTGCTGCCATAAGGATTTTAACCAAAACTGGGAATTTCACTGGTGAGTGTTTGGGCAGTGCTGGCCTGAGTCTGTCCTGTGAAGGTTTTAGAGCTCTTTACCACTCCCTTGAAGAAGGGGAGGCTATCTGTCATAGTATTTTGTTCTCTGTCCATCCTTACACCGGTCAGATGTTCCCATAAAAATTGACTCCACAGTAATGGTACAAACCAGCTTTTCCGATGGACAGTTCTGTAAGTGGAATGAGGGAGGGCTCTCAGGAGATCATAGGCACTGTCATCTAACCACCTTATATTCTGAGAGCCAAGGATATTTTCTCAGCTGATTCTTCTGTGTTGTGACTATGGAGATATGTTTTATGAAAAAAAATAAAAATTGCAACAGAGGAACCCAAAAAGCAAAAAAACAGATGCTACCATAAACCTATTTTTCCCCTCTCAGGAAAGATTTGGACAACAAACATGTTGTTCACATTTCCAGGTCAGCATGAAAAGCCCTCAGAGGCTGTGCTGGTGAGGGTAGGGTGGGTACCTATATGGGATAAACCATGAACTCCATAGCCAGGCCTCCCCTGTGTAGGAGAATGTGGCCAGTTTTGGTATTTACACGTGGTTTGCTGTGCTCAAACCATGAGCTGACTGACCTGCTTTCTTGGTGTGAGAATGCATACCCAAGTGGAGACCAGTAAAAGGCCAAGTTGCAAATTGTACTGCCTGAACTGTTGCTGTCCTGAGGGAGGCTTCAGCTGTGTTCCTCAGAACACTACTTTTTCTTGCTTCATGCCCTACAGCCTTTGATCAGGTGAAGCACTTGAACCTGTACTTGGCTCTGCACACATGAGCAATCCTGTTGATTTGCTGTGTTGAAAGTTAGGTATGGGTTTTTTAAGTGCTTTGCCTTTCTTTTTTGTCAGAGAACCCGAGCATTTCTCTGAGCTGCAGAGACTTCCAAGCGACTTAGCAAGTGCTTAAAATCACATATGCAGTATTTTGCTGGCTTGCATTTTTATGTTCTTATTAAGTGATATTTTTATGAATTTTCCTTTGGATGTGGATATATGGTTCCTTGGCTTCTGAGAATTACCTTGCTTGCTAACAGGAAATGCTAAATGGCCTTCAGCCTCCCTGGCTGATGTTTCTTACGTTCAGTTGACTGTGCTCAGTTATGGGCGAGGGAGGAGGGGGAAATTTTAGCCTTGTTTTTTTAAACTGAATCTAGCACAAGTTGGAAGATGTTTCTAGAAATCTAATATATGTTTTTCAGATCAGATAAATTTGAATTACCATGTTTGTTAGCATAATCTTTTTTTTCATTTTTCAGTAGGCTGTTGGAAGACAGTAGCATATGCAATGATACCCATAAGAAAAGACAACTGTTTAGGTTTGTATAAATTTATTTAATATTCATTTCCCAGTAACTTTCACTTGTGATTCTATCTGTGTCCTTGCCAAGGGAAACCTTGACAGGTCTGGATATGTCATTTTTCTGGTTGGAAAGGAACATGGAGAATGCGTTCTATCTCACTCATCCCAGGCTCTCTGAATGCAAAGGTAACAAGAGGTCCCTTTCCTTTGGTTTTATGGATCACTGTCTCAGGAACCATAGGAGATTTCCAGGTGCCCAGCTGCTCAGACTGCCGCAATTTGGAAGTGACTGTAACTGGTAGAATCTCATTTTTGCTGGAGTGTGTACAACAGGCACATTTCATAGACTAGTGCCCAGACTGACCTTTTTTCCTTTTATTGGTTTATTAAAAGCTGAAATAATAGTACATTGAGGTGAAACTGATTGAAGTTCCATTAGCCAAAGCAGCTATATTTTGAAACTTTTTCTCTGTAAACTTTGTCTTCCCAGCTCAAATTCCTTCTGCCCAGAGAACATTCAGATGTATCCTATATCCCAAATAGCATCCCAAGCCAAAGGATATCAATAAGGGTCAGTCCCTATTTTCATGGAGGACATTTTTACCACTTGACACACTGGATCAGTAGAAGACCCAGTCTGGTTGTGGCAATGTTCTTCTGTGGATCTTAGGAAGATTGTCTTCCCCCATCATGAGCTCTCACAGATTCAGTTCAGATCAACCAGAGTTGAGCATGCCAAGTTGCTTTAGACGTCAGTCAGCTGCCACAAGTCTTAAACAGAGCAGGCAGAGGGAATGTATGCTTTCAGAAGCATGTCCTTCATCCATTAAGGGACAGGGAGAGCTTGAGAAATAGGGTGATCACTAGATGTCTTTATGCATTGGGGTTTTCATATGTAGGAGTGACAGCTTGTGTCACTTCAAACCTATATTTATATTTATTTATAATACATAAATTTTCACTATGAGAAGAAAAGGAATATTTGATGTACAGTTGCTAACCCTGCATGTTATCACAGCAGCCACAGAGGAGATGGAGAGATTGGACCAAATAAGGAACAGTGCTGGAGCATCTGCTTCTGCATCCCATGACCACAGGCAGCAGGCAGAAAAACATTTCTTCTTTCTTTGGGTTAGGCTTGATGATCTGAGAGTCGGGGAGCAGGCATGCAGGAGTAAGGAGACATCTACACAGAGACACTCTTAATGAGTAATATCTGTTTGGGTTTGGGAAACTAAAAGAAATTTTGTGTAACCAAAAACCACAGAATACAAAAGCATTCCGTTTCTCTTCCTCTTTTCCACTAGAATATAAATATAAGAGACTTGTTAATTTCTGAACACAAGAGTACAAAAGAGTCTTTAAATAATATACTTTGGTATTTTTCTTTCCAATTAAATCTTAGGATGATTTATTTTCAAAATATTTTTTGGTTTTTTTGTGTTGTTGCTTCTGTGCTGTTTCTCTTCATGACTTCCCACAGTCTGGATCTAGCAAAGGTCAACACATTTATACTGCTGATCACATCTGTGAGAGGTTTGGTTCACAGGCAAGGAGTGCAACAGCCTGATTCTACCTTTGACACGCTGTTCCTTCATGTCCCAAGTGACACAACCCAGCAGGTTCTCCAAATAAAAAGCAGGAGCTGTGTTCACAGGGACAAAGGGGACAAAAAAAAAAATAGATACCGTCCCATTGTTTTTGATTTGTAGAAAGAGCTTTGAGCCTGTAAGTTATCATACTGTAAAATAAGACAGAGGGGTGGAAAATGTCTTCTAAAAGACTTCCAAAGACAGTGTTACGAGCATCACTTGAGATAACAGTCATGGTGCACTAAGCTGTTATAGCATTCTGGTTTTGTCATTTTAGCAGTACAGTGTAAAAGCTCACCATAAATAAGCCAAATTCTCCTCCAAATTCTGGTCACAGTTTAGTGTGTTGTTACTCACATTACACTGGGTGCTCTGCAACTGTTCGAGGATAGACAGCCTCTGCCCAGAGATTCTCACAACTGTATGCAGAGGGGAAATAAACCAACTCATGCATCTCTAGGTGGAGCATTAGCAGTGAAGAGTTCGGGGTCACATTGAGAGGACACATGTTTAGGGAAGCTTTGGATGACTTCACAAAACTGATAATGACTGGGAGCAAGGTGCAGTAAAAATAAGGAGGATGGGTATGAAGACAAAGGTAGAGGGCAGGTGAAGTTGGTGAGAAAAACATCACAGGAGATGCACAGAAAAGTGAGAAGTAGTGAGGGCTTTACTGAGGGAAGAGAACCCTCAACAGACAACAGAAATGCTACATCAGTGCTGCCTGATAGTGCTGTGTCAGCCACATCTGGTGAAGTGCTCTCAGGGAATGTGCAGAAGGGGAACGGTGGTAAGTGCTGTGCATATAAAAAAGGTATAGCGGTGTTTACATGCTGAAGACAGATGAGTATGGGGGCCAAATCCCCTGTTTCAAACATGATTTCATAAATGCAGAGTATTTCCTTTTTCTTTATTTAGGTCGCTGCAGGGTACCCAACGATAAACTCTGCTGTGACGTGGTTTTATTTGTGTATAAGTCTTTGTTTCCTGATGTCTGTAGGGGTAATAGAGACAGCATCGGGAAGACATCTGGCAGTCGACAGAGCAGTACAGAGAATGAATTAAAGTGGACAGACCACCAGAGGCCATGGAGCAGCACAGACTCGGACAGCTCAAATCGAAATTTGAAGCCAGCCATAACAAAGACAGCCAGCTTTGGTGGGATAACCGTCCTGACAAGAGGAGATAGCTCATCAAGTAACAGAAGTACCGGCAAACTGTCTAAAACAGGTAGCTAGTACTGTATTGGGTTCACAGTGCTTCCTGTTATGTGATAATAAATGGCTGTACTGGTACTTGTCTGAGTACAGTATATCACAGAATGGTTTGGGTTGGAAGGGACCTTCAGAGAGCATGTAGTCTCACCCCTATGGTTGAAGTAGGTGGTGAAATACATAAACAGCTGTATTTCCTGTACGTGGGAGATGTGTGTGTCCATCTATAGATGCTAGTATCTGGGTACCTGGTAATGACTTTTTAGGAACCAAGAAAAAAGCATGGTGCCCGAGGTTTGCAAATCATAGGAGAGGTAGGCTTTTCTTGGAGTACAATATGTGCACACCCTATTGGAACACCATCTGCACTTGTAGCAAGAAAAGGTGGCAGTCCTTTCAGAGAAAACACAGATTTTAACTTTTTATTAATCTTAATATTTTTAAGTTGTGAATAGTTAAATGTCATATATTTGATGAGAAGTCCAAGAATATTTCGTTGTCCTTGCTAAAATGCAGACCATGTGTATCTTGGAGAACAGCCTTACCTTGCTGCTGGCAGATGGGGCTATGGTGGAAGCAGGCAGAAGTGGTGGATTCACAGAGGTCCCACAATCTCTCCATTTCTTTGTTTAGTTCCCATTAAATGAAAGCACCATTTAAGCAGACTATGAACCGGTGGGAATTCTGCATTTATTTGCATTAACTTTACGAGTACATTAACATATGAGTGAGTCACAGGGTCTGGATCTAAGTAATTTCAAGCTACGCCATTAAGCTACTCATTATACTTTAGTGTAAAAGTGCATAATAAATAATGAGCCTATCAGATGATTCCATCAGATTGGTTCATTTGATACATATAGTACAGGACAAGTGGTAATCAATACTTAGCACTTAGTGCTCTTTCAGCTTGAGAGTGTTTTATGGACAGTACTTAATACACCCAGTTTATCAAACCTGAGTTGGTCAGATTTCACTCTGTGGTCCTACTGGCCACACTATTTCTGATACAAGCCAGGATACCATTGGCCTTCTTAGCCACCTGGACACACTGCTGGCTCATATCCAGCCAACTGTTGACCAACACCCTCAGGTCCTTTTCCACCAGGCAGCTTTCTGGCCACTCTTTCCCAAGCCTGTAGTACTCCCTGGGATTGTTGTGACCCAAGTGCAGGACCTGGCTCTTGGTCTCATTCAACCTCATAAAATTAGCCTCGGCCCAGTGATCCAGCCTGTCCAGGTTCCTCTGCAGAGCCTTTCTACCCTCTAGCACGTCAACACTCTCTCCCATCTTGGTGTCATCTGCAAACTTCTTGAGAGTGCACTTGATCCCCTTGTCCAGATCATGGATAAAGATATTAAAAGGACTGGCCACAATACTGAGCCCTGGGGAACAGCACTTGTGACCAGCTGCCAACTGGATGCAACTCCATTCTCCCCTACTCTGGACCTGGCCATCAACCAGGGTGAAAAGTGCAACCATCCAGGCCATGAGCAGCCAGTTTTTTCCCGGAGGGTGCTATGGCATTAAAGGCTTTAGTAAAGTCCAGGTATATAACACCCATAGCCTTTCCCTCATCCACTAAGTGGGTCACCTTGTCATTGAAGGAGAATAAGTTGGTCAAGAAGAACTTGCCTTTCATAAACCCATATTGGTTGGACCTGATCCCCTGGTTGTCCTGTACATGCTGCATAATGGCATCGAAGATGATCTGCTCCATAGGTTTTCTCACACCAAGGTCAGACTGACAGGCCTTTAGTTCCCCAGATCCTCCTTCAAGCCTTTCTTGTAGATGGGCATCACATTTGCTAACTTCCACTCAACTGAGATGTCTCCAGTGAGTCAGGACTGCTGATAAAGCATGAAAAGTGGCTCAGTGAGCACTTCCACCCACTCCCTCAGAACCTTTGGGTGGATCTCATCTGACCTCATAGACTTGTGTGTGTCTGAGTGATGTAGCAGATCACTATTTCCCCTTGGATTATGGGGGCTTCGTTCTGCTCCCTGTCCCTGTCCTCCAGCTCTGGGGACCAGATACCCAGAAAACAGCTGCTCTGGATATTGAAGGCTGAGGCAAAGAAGGCATTAAGTACCTCAGCCTTTTCCTCAGCCTTTGTCACTTTGTTTCTCCCCAGATCCCATAAAGGATGGAGATTCTCTTTAGCCTTCCTTTTTTTGCTAGTGTGTTTTCAAAAACATTCTTTATTGTCTTTTACAGTAGTACCCAGATTAAATTCTAGTTGAGCTTTTGCCTTTCTGATTTTCTGCCTTCATAATCTCACATTATCCTTGTAGTCCTCCTGATTAGACTTCCCCTTGTTCAAAGGTCATAACTCTTTTTTTCCTGAGTTCCAACCAAAGCTTTCCGTTGAGCCAAGCTGGCTGTCTTCCATGCTGGCTTGTTGTTTGGCACATGGTTACAACCTGCTCCTGTGCCTTTAAGATTTTCTTCTTGCAGAATGTCCAGCTCTCCTGGACCCCTTTGCCCCTCAGGACTGCCTTCCAGGGAACTCTGTCAATCAGTTTCATAAACAGGCCAAAATGTCCCTCTGTAAGTCCAAGATCGTTGTTCTCTCCCCCCACCACTACCCCCTTACTTCTCTGAGAGTTGAAAACTTTTGGTAGTCACTGTGCCCAAGATGGGCTCCAACAAGGCAGCAGATGATCCCAAGAAGTGAGTCTGATCAGCATATTGGGCCTTCTGTTCCCTTCAGAAGGGAGTCTAGTATGACCATGACCCATCCTTTTTAATTTATGGAAGCGTATTGGATGCAGAGCATAGTCTGAATTAACCTCCATCCAGAGGAACTGCCATCCTTGCTATTGTTTGATTCCACTTGCAGAGCCTCACATCTGTTATCCCAGGGCACCTGGGACAGGGGGGTAATGACAGAGGAGACCTGCCTGCTGCGCTGGGCAGGAGCTTGTCACCATTGCCCCCTGTTCCTTCAGTCATTGTGTTCAGCCGAGCAGATGGAGGACAGAATCCTTCATATCATGCATTGTCTCCCTATGGGAACTGCCCCAGGGAAGACAGTGTGCAATTCCAGTGTGTATGTAGTTTTGAAACTACATTCTTGTGTATTTTTTGTTTGAATATAGACTGAATAGACTATACCGTGGGGCTTGAAGTATGCAGCAGACCACGGTTTTACCTCCACATTTCTTTGACACCCGTGAATCTTTCCATTGCACTAGAATTGAATTTAATGTGCACTGAATTAGGGAGGAGGCAGAGGTCCCTGCTATACTTTTTTTGTATCATTCACCTTCAGTAGAGTGCAGGTAAATGTATTTCTCTGCGGCATTGTGTTGCAGAGGTGAAGAGCATTTAAAATGATGTCAGGGAAATCCAGTTTGAAGGAGACCTCTAATTACAAGAATAATATTTTTAAGTAGCCATTTTAATGTTAAGCATAATAAAGGATGCACTTAGGAAATGTATTAAAGGAGAGACTTCTGAAGCATGCCAATACTTGTAAATGCATCTGCACTCTGTATGCACCAAACCCCAAATTGCTTTCAAATGAAAGCTCTTATAATACATTTTTAAAACATCAGTGATATTAAAATTTCATGTTCTCTTGTAAGTGCTTTGACTTTTTGTAAGGAAGGTGTTTAAATTGGAAAGCTAGTTCAGGCACAGGAAGAGTAAAAAAGAAACAAAAAGAGGTGGGGAAGAAGAGGAAGACTGCATGCCAAAACAAATGTATATCTTCAAAGCCAGGACACAAAGTCAAACAGTCAATCAGCCTGAGAAAAGTCATAGGAAATAATATCCAAATCACTATTTCTGTCCTTCTTTCTGATATGCTATTGAATGGCATTAAAGCAGAAAAAAATGACTGTTCCAAAAATAATAGGGAAATGTGTCTTGATACAGTGTTTTCACTTCACCAAAAAAATGCTGAGTGCATTCATACAGTAGCTGTCAACGCCTCTATGTGCTATTTGCATTTGTTTTCTAAGGTGCAATAGGTACCAAGTGACACTTCATTGTGCATGTTTTTGCATTATATCTTCTGTGCTCTAACCATAGGTAGCCCTGGTTTTCTGTAGCTCAGTGGACATTTAAATGTTGATCCTGTTTTTATTTTGAGTTTTTTTTTTGTTGTCTTTACTACAGTGGTTGAAATGGAATTTCAGAGCTGTTGCTACAAACATTACACACACCGCTCTGGTAGCACCTGATAGGCACCAATTCTGTCTCAGTTCTTCTCTACAGAAAATACTAGTCTGTTCTCTGAAGGGGTTTATGATTCACAGTAATAAATTTAAAACATTTCTGTCTTGCATATAGTAGATATGAAAGTGGTATGAAGTCATTAGTTGGTCAAAATGTTCTTCATTGTCTAAATTATAGAAATTATTTGTGGCCTCTTTAAATGTGAAAATTATTCTGTATATGTGATAGTCATACAGAAGCATTGTTAAACACTCTTCTTGAGCATAGAGTATTAAAAGTTTCAGAATTTTCAAAGAAGGCTCACAATTGCCTTTGAGAGTGTATACAGTGATGCAATATTAGTATTGAAGTCTTTCTGGATCACTTTTAATATTGTCATCAAAATTAAATGTTCTGCCCTTAACCTTAACTTCTGATAAATCAGTAATTAATGATACATAGTAAGCAAGCAGGAACTGAAGCACAGGAAGATGTTAGCTTCCCCCTAGGCAAGAGATCACAGAACATGCTGTTCTCTGCAGTAGAGTCCAGCAGTGTCAATTAGTCTTAGACTTTAATTGCATTCAGCTGCACAGGAATTGGAGCTTAGTATAGGAATTATGTTACTTCGTTTTTGCAAACTTCACAAAAGGGGCTGTTTGAAACCCATTACATGGTTATCTTAATGGTTCTGATGGTTGTTTTCATGCACCTGTTGATTGTTTAGAGAACCTTGTTCTACTGAAAAGCACAGATTGTATTTTGCAAATAAAATTTTCTTCTCTGTTATTCTGAAGCGTAGTAGATATGCAGAGATGTGTTAAACTATAGTTCAATATTGAGTGGGGAGTTAATAACTTAACAAATTTCAATCAAGTTGTATTCCTACTGCTTAAGACATCGTACAAAATGTTGGTTGGTTTAGATTTCCAGGAATGTAGTGGACTTTCCAGGGTTGACTAAGCATATAAGGTGGTAAGTGAAATAGTTGTCCATGCAGGGGGACAAAGATGTACCTATTCAGTCTGTAACACCAACGAAGTGAAAATATAACACATTAACTACCATGTTACTGTCACTGACACATTGCCACAGGTTTTAACATAGATTATTGTGAGGGAAGACAAGATGTGCTTCAAAGAAATGTTCTCTGTGTATCTATGTAGTTATTTAAATAACTGTTAAATAGGAGATGTAACTGTTGCACCTTTAGCTTCCTTTGATGTGTTTTCCATTCAGTGGAATGCACATCTGTTGGAGTGTATTTTTTTCCCCCTCATTTACAAAAAGCTGGCTTGGGATATTAGCCGTGTTGATACAGGTCTGTAGGGATCATTAACTTCCTTGGCGGGGCTCCAAGTAATTGGAGACACAGTCTAATCTCTCCTGTTAGGTGTACATTGCTACTCCTGTTGGGGAAAGACAATTATATGTAGGCATTTCAATACAGTAACCTTCCTGGGTTTGGTTTGTCTGGGTTTTTTTTGGTCATTTGGGGTTTTTGGGAGTTTTTTGTTTGTTTGGGTGGTTGGGTTTTTTTATATAAAGTGTCCTGTGTAATATATTTTTTCTCTCAGTTTTGGAACCAGATTTCTGCTTTTTTATTATCAGGCACTAGCCTGATGGATCTGGTAAGTCCAACAGAAACTGTCAGAATACTGATGTATGTGTCAGACTTACTGATGATAAGTCACGAGCCAACTGCTTCCAGTCATAATCTTCCCACCAACTGATTGTGCTGAAACATCAGTTTTATTTTTAGAAGTGCAGCTTGCAGAGAAATAATCATGTTCACATGAGTATGTACCATTATCATAAAAAAAACCCCAACAACCAAGTATGTGGGTGTACAGAGAAACACAAGTGAATTACAGAAATAGCAAATAAATATTTCTAATCCAAGTAACTATATCCAAGACAAAAATACTTCCAGCACTCTACTGTTCCTGAAAAAATTAACTGTCTGGACTAAGTAGTGCATAGATCTTGAGAGTCTAGTTGATAGGAAAGGAAAAAATTGCCTTGGACTTGGAAGGTGGGATGAGCAGAGATTTTCAAAGTGATCAGATACTGAATGCTGACTGAAATAAAATAGAGCAACACATGTTGCATCACTCACTAGTGCTTAGAATACTGGTACTGCATTGGTACTGCCATGCTCTCTCCCTCTGTAAACCCTCTTTTACAACTCTTTGAACTGCTGTATCTCTCAGAATACTTAAAAAATGTATTAATCGAAAGTGATGAGAATGTGAAGGTTATTATTATGTCAATTGTGAAGCAGCAAGAAAATTATAGAATAATCTAGAAGTATGCATCATTACATACTGAAAAAAAAGAGGTTGTATTGTGTAATGGGGACAAAAATCTCATTTAGACCAAGTTCCTTTCAAAAATCTTTAGCAAGACATCTCTTAATGTGAGTCTGAGTAAAGTCAGATAGTTCAATTTTTTTCCCTTTTCTACAGTACTGAATTCATTATGTGGTGACTTCTTAGTCCAGATTTAGACAGCATGAAAACAGCTAATCAGAGCTACAAAGACATGATTAAGTGGTGTTAATTTCCAGACATTAGTGTTGGAATTTACATTTACTTGTGTTGATAGATCTAGACTTAAGATGATAGGAAATAAGTTATGGTGATGGAAAAAAATAAAGTAGATCATTCTTGTACAGGATAAATGGGGGCAAAATTGATAAAGCAGTGATTTCTGGGATTTTTTTTTTTTTTTTGCAAAGAGTCAGAAAATTCTTGATATGGTTTGTGACTTATTTTTTTTCAAAATCACTGAGTTGATCTACTGACATGGGAGAGTAGATCTCAGTTCTTTTATGGTAGACATTTCAAAGCTATCAGCTTGACCAGTATGAGATGATAGCTTCAGAGGATTTTCCACTGTTTCTGCGTATCATTTGATGAGTACATCTGAATTCATTGCAGTCCTCTGGCTTTTATCATTCAGAAGCTGGTATAGATCAATCCGTGATTCTGGCATATAAATAGCTGAAAGGGGTGGAAAAAAACCCAGTTGAATATCAGAGCTGCAGTCTTCTTTTATACTAACAGCCTTTCTTTTGAATAGCACAAAAAGTGGGGAGAGTGAACTCGGGCTTGATTCTACTTACACGCTTAGAAATAATGGGAGTTTTATGAAATCTCATCACCACTACCATCTCCAGGTAGCTTTCTAACCTATTTATTTCAAAAAGTGAAGGAAAAGAGGAGAAAGTAAAGCAAGAACTCAAAGAACCAACATGAAGTGCATGTAGAAAGGCTAGGGAAATACAGGGAAGAACTTGGTAACTTATGTAGGAGGAAAATTAAATTCCAGCCGTTGCTTTTACAATTTCAAGGACGACACCAAATACCCAAATACTACTTGCAGCTTGATGAGGATGGCCTCCAGAAATAACTCTGCAATTTGTAGAAACACTGAAATCTGAAATTATCCAATAAATAAAACTATACCTACAGGAATAACATTTCTAAATTTCCAATCTCAGTCTACGAGGAGGGGAAAAATGTAGCAACTAATACAACTTTGAAGTGTATTTATAGAAATTAAAAATTTCTTCTGAAATCTCTGTAACTTTCTTGGTTATGTACTGGAGAAGCAGATTTAGGGTCCTGCTGATGGCAGTACAAGAGTTCACAGAGGGGACGGATTGTATCTGTAGTAGCTTCTGTATGAATACAAAGTTTGAAGAAGATGGATAAAAAATGTGTCTTACACAGCAACCTACAGAAATCTGTGAAAAGACCCTCTGTTAAGTAACAGAATGCTAGTATGATTTCTTCAGGAGAAACCTGCTTTGCTCTAATTTCTATAATATGAGGAAATAAATGAATTTCAATAGGGATTTGACTGAAAATTAATTTGAGGCTCTAAGCAGTCTACTGCAGGGACCACCTACAGTATCCCATATCTGAAAGGATGTAATTTGGCCTCGAAGAAGTTTGCTAAAACTGAAGTCTGAGTTCTGTCTTTGCTTTTAGTATATACCTGCAGGTGGGCACTGTGAAGGTTAGATGAATAGACAGTGCACAGAAGTAAAATGAAAGAAGTTGCAATTAAAACATACTTTGCATTCATAACATCCTGCTTTCAGGAAGCCAATCACCTGAGCCCTATGCTCTCAGAGATACTTGTCTTTTTTATGTGAAGCAAATTGAAATCTAATCAAGTAGTATCTCAGAAGTTTGGAAATTATATTTGGGTTTTAAAATACTATATCTCCATTCTTCCAGGCACAAATGTGGTTTAGCACATTTGATTTTACAGAATCACAGAATATGCCCAGTTGGAAAGGACTCACAAGGATCATTGAGTCCAACTCCTGGCCCTGCACAGGACCATCCCCAGGAGTCACACCAGGTGCCTGAGAGTATCGTACAAATGCTTCTTGAACTCTCTCAGGTTTGATGCTGTGACCACTGCCCTGGGCAGCCTCTTCCAGTGCCCAACCACCCTCTGGGTGAAGAACCTTCTTCTAATATCCAACGTAAACCTCCCCTCACACAACTTCAGGCCATTACCTTGGGTCCTGTCCCTGGTCACCACGGAGAAGAGATCAGTGCCTGCCCCTCCTCTTCCCCTCATGAGGAAGTTGTAGACTGCAGATGTCTCCCCTCAGTCTCCTCTTCTCCAGGCTGAACAGACCAAGTGACCTCAGCTGCTCGTCATACGGCTTCCCCTCAGGGCCCTTCACCATCTTCGTTGCCCTCCTTTGGATGCTCTCTAATAGTTCAATTTTAATAGGTTAGGTGCTGACAAATCAAAGTGGCAAAAATCTTAGGTGGCATCTTAGGCAGCTTTAAATTAATATGTGTGTTGCCCAGCTACCTTGTTATTTGACTGATAACACAGTTGCTGTTGTTTTTCTTACAGAAAATGTTTAGAGTTTTTTGTGTTATGATTTTAGGGTTTTTTTAATTTATTTATGAACTCCATGCTTAGTCTTTACACCTTATGAACTGATACTTTGGCATTATAAATACGTGCTGAGCATTTTGTGTTGTCTTTGGTAAGTCTATTTACTGGCTGGGAGGAAGCAGGTTTTGTGGGAGGAAAGCGGTTTTTTAAGTTGTAAAAATTACCACTGGATACTGGTCTCAGTAGGGAGTGAAAACCCTGCTCCTAGCTGGGCGTGGAGTGATGCATACCTTTGCAGTCTGTGAAGGTTCTCCTCGTGTACATACCCTATTTGATGGGGACTGGGGTCCCTTGTAACCCCCTCTCCTGCTGTGATTGTGTCTCCCTGTTAGGCTCAGAGTCTTCCAGCAGTGCTGGCTCCTCAGGATCACTGTCACGAATACATCAGCCTCTCCAAAGTGCATCTCTTGTCCCTGGGGTAACAGTCAGCTCTACAGGCAGTGTGTCCTACCCTGAGAGCGGGATGAGTGGCCAGGTGGCCCCCAGCAACACCAGCTATATCATTCTTCCACTTGAAGCTGCAGGGATACCGCCTGGCAGTATCCTTCTCAACCCACACACAGGTCAGTATGATTCTCTCCTGCCTGATACTGCCCGTTGGTGCTTCTCATGTCAGCTGGGGAATTACCAAATTTCTTGTTTCTAGACATATTTTCCTGGGGGCATTTTATGAGCAAATGTACATACAAATGACATTTTGCAAGTTGTCTTTTTCAAATCTGCTGGCAAAGTTAGATTGGCTTTCTGAGGCTATTGTGGCATAGCTGGTGGGAAGTGATACAAAACATACTTGCTTCATCCCAGACAGGATATTCATCATTCAGAAGTCCTGGCACTCCTTGGCTGTGAATCTTCTGAGATACCATTAGCATCAATAAAGACAGATGCTTTTCTATATTGAGCATGCTGAGATACAGTGCAATCGAAATACATCATCAAATGTCAGCAGAATTTCAAAAGGCTTAAAGACTGCATTTGAATTTGCACTTCAGAATTAATCTTGTTATGTGAGCTGCATGATTAGCAATTGTATTTAAATTGTGAGTTTTGTGATAAGACAAAGCTGTAACTGTTCAATTCCTGGTAGTTAGCAGCACCACAGTGCACAAACAAGGTGCTTGCAGGCACCCAAGTGCTGTGGATGCTTTGGAAACTGCTCGGTTTGAACTTGAGTGTTTGCTGAAAGTTTAAGGCAATTTCTTAACCGCCTTGGTCTAGATGAAGTCCAGGTTATATTACACTGTTACTCCCCACAGTATTGTACTGTCAGTATTTAAAAGGTTCGGAGAGTTTGAGACTGTGATGTTTTTTCAGTGATTTGAACCATTTCAGTGACCATGACTAGCTGTGCTGTCAACCTTAGCTGAGTTATGCTAGGTTTAAAGCAACAAAGCCTATGGTGAAATATATCTTCCATTATATGAGAACTGAGGATTGAACTCAAAAATATTTTTTCAGAGTCCTTGATAGAGCATCCAGGAGCTTTTTCTTTGGGTATTTTTGCTTATTACTAGTATTTTATGTGTATTACATCACTGTGTTTCAGTATTTCAGTGCAAATACCTAAAGCTTATTTGTGAGTCCACTACTATGAATACTTTGTTTCGGTCATAGTTTGGTCAAGAAAGTTGCAGCATTTAAGAAAAACACAACCTTGGTAAACTATTGAGCCAATCTTTCCGCAGATACTTAGAGATAGTAGTATCTGGGGCTGATCAATGTATATCAGCATATTTAAAATCAGGGAGCATTTCTTGTTTAGATTGAAATGAGAGAAGTTCTTTCCGGAGAGGTGACTTAGTAACTTGCACAGACCTTTCACTTTTCTGAAGCCTTTACCATTTAAGTGTACTTTTTTCCAAGCTATTGCATTATTGACATGAGAGCCTGATACTGTTGGCAAGAAAAAAATCTGTCAGTATGTTCATCTGCTCATTTCTGTTGTTCCCGTAGTTTTCAGTTCTGTCTGCAACACTGAAATTTCTTGGTCGATACGGAAGACAGCATTTTGTGTGCTATGGGGTCCACTTCCATGCAAAACTCAGCAGGCCTAGACAGGAGTCATCCATAATTCAGGTGACAGGACTGAGAAACAAATGAAAGGAATTGCTGCTGCTTGGAGATTGTGCTTGTTCCTGGCCATGGTAAGGACAGAGACTGGAGGTCACCACACTTGAAAGCCGGAAGAGCAGTTTAAGAGGAACATCTTAAATTGACAAAATTGACATCCTGCGTCTGTTTTGTCAATTTAGCAATTTGCAGCAGCTAGTTCATATTTTTCCCTGGTACCTGGGGAGTCTTTTTTTCTGCTGTAGGTATAATGCCTTTCAATACTGTCACTAGACTAGAGCACCTCATCTTCCTTCCGAGTGTGCCTCGTTGTCTGCAGAGACATCACTGGGAGCCCCATATGTGTTAAGGGAGCAAGTATTTTTACGTGTATCTGATTTCGTGTTTCTTTCAAACCCTCTGTTTTATTTCTGTGGCTCCCTTGTAAATATATACATGATAAAGAAAATGGAGGGAGAAGATTCTTTAAAAGCCTAAAATTCTTGTCTCACGCTTCTAGCTTCATCATGCTGCCTGTGCTGGAAGATGCTACACTTTAGCATCTACTGTATTTTTTACATGCAGCAAAACACATACTGAAAATTTATCACTCTTTGGGCTCGGAATCTTTGCATCTCATTAGGGTAACATTACAAAAGAAGCTCCATAGGGAGGAGATTTAGATTGCTAGATGCTGTGATCAACTATCAAAGTGATGGATGCTGTCAGAAACATAGATGAAGAGAAGACAGTTTAAAGAAAAGGAAAAAGGAGCTTTGTTTCCTGTAATGAATAGATTTTCTTTCCCTATGTAACACCATTGTTTAGCTCTTTCTTTTCCTCTTGCAGAGTGGCTACTTCCAGAATTTTTCTCTCTTTTGATCATGATACTGTGTCCTTTAAAGATCTTTACTTCCTTTCACACTACATAGTCACTGACTGTGCAAGCCTCTGATGGCATCCACAGATGTTGTCAATATCTTCTTGCTCTGATTATACCTCTCTGCTCCTTCTCAGGTGTTGGCAGTCCACACTCTCTTTTCCATATCTGCAGTTTCCTTTACTTCCTCTCCTCTGCTTTACTGTTCTCCTTCCTCAGCTAGACAAGCTTCTTACTTGCTTTGGCAAAGAACCATTTATGTGGCTGCACTCTTTTGCACTCCATTTCACCTGCTTCTGTTTTACCCTTTAAAGGATTCCTTTTGACGCGTTCTGACTTAATCCCTTTGACAATTTAAGAGCATTTATGTTTCATTCTTACTCCTCTAAATGACATCACAATCTTTGCCCTTCTATCAGGGCCACAGTTCATAACTTACAAATGTCTTCCCTGTTACCATCTGATCTCTCCTTTTCATTTCTTATTTCAAGATTTCTTCATGAAAAGTCTTTTTCTTTTCATCTTTAAAGGAATTGCTGGGACTTTTTCAATTATGTCATTGAAATGCTCTTTACTGCCTTCCCTTGAATATCTGACACAGGCTTTGGGTGGCTGTTATCCCACTCAGTCTTCTAAAGTGCTTCTGGAGCCTTAGATTCCCAAATCTTGGTAGTCCATGCCATAGTCACCCAGAGTGTTCACAGCAAGATTCAGGAAAACAGTGGACAGAACTGTCTTGTACTTCTCTTCCACTCAGTCATGACCTTTCTCGTCATGAGTGTGATGTCGAGTTGGTCCAGGAAGTGTTGATGCTCTAGAGAAAGAGAGAAAGTAAGGTTCTTTAGCCAGTGCTCCTCAGGCATTTCTGACTGTGATTCATAAGAGGGGGAAACTGAAAGTCTGAGGAGTAGATAGAACAGGTAGAGATGCTTTGTAGTGTACAAATCAGAAGTTCATTGTTTCACTCTAGCTCTAAGTCACCGATTTGCTCCAGATCTCCCTTTTCATCTCAGATGAAAAGGTTTACTTTGGTTTACTTTGGTTACTGACTTTAATGGTTATGGTATCATCGCTAAAATTTTTCTCATGGAAACATTTGTAATTCCTTTGATTTACGGATTTACTATAGAAGTGAAAAGAGAACTGAGGTCATGGAAAACATTTTTCATACAGAAAAATACCATTTCTTTTTTGTTTGCAAGACAGTGACTTGGGTAAACTTTTTTATTATTTCAAACAAAAATTGGTTTTGCAAGGTTATTTCCTCCACCTAAAATATCTGAAGTGAAATGAGTTCAACAATTTAGTAGAGCTTTGGACAGAATTTTTCTTGTATATAAGAGATTTTTAAATACATCTTAAGTGTTGCTTCCTTGAATACTTGAGTGCTGGCTCCTCTAATTACATAGGGCAAAGCTCTCAAAAGTACATTACTGTGTTATTGGAATGTGTAAATAAATAAGTAACAGTGGGTGTTTGGTTTTCTTTTTGTTTCCTACAAACTATAGTGTGTCAGAAGTAGTTGTGTACATTTGACTGCTATTGTGTCAGAGTAAAATGTAACTGAATATTCCCTATGTTAAGTGTTTACTCCAAAGTTCAATTTTAATGTTAATTGATTTATCATTGAATGACTTCAAGAGCATATGAATCATCTTATAGCCATGGTAACTTTCCACCCATTCCTTGAAAAATCATCCTTCCAAAACAAATACCTGCTGTCTGTCTTGCCTGAAAAAAAAAAGAAAAAAAAAGGAAAAAAAAAAGATGGCTGATACTGTAATTACTGCAATGAGGCATTCAGTGTGATGAGCACTTTACTGTTGTAGCAGGTCAGCTAAAGAGTGATCAGTTAAAGCATGACTGTATCCTTTCATACAGGAAACAGTATATTCTTTAAAATGTTCAGCAAATGCAGAGTGTTTTGTTTCAGGTCAACCGTTTGTAAATCCTGATGGGACACCGGCAATATACAATCCTCCCAGTGGCCAGCAGACGATGAGGAGCCAGATGGTGGGACAGTCTCAGCAGCAGCCTTCTTCCCAGCAGCCTCAGCAGGTTCAACAGCCACAGCAACAATTGGCAAGCCACCTTGTCACACAGGTAGGTGTGGTGGCCATTGGAAAAAAGAAGGAGCTCTCAGGGATATGAAGAATGACCTAAAGGGTAGGAGGTAGGAATGCAGCTAGACAAAAATATCAGGAAGTGCTTTTCAACATGGATGAAAGAGATAGAGAAGATTACTTTTTCAGTTTTATGTAAAGGATGATTTTATTTTCAAAAGTACCGTTAAGCGAGTTGGTGTATGTCTACATAAGGTTATTTTGCAAAATTCACCCATAAGTGGAAGCTGAAGCATTCATTCCCAAAGTAGTGCAGCCTGTAATTTTCTCCAAAGAGTGACCTTTCTCTGTCCCTTTTGACAGCAGTGGGTTTGAGTCAAAGAATCAAGTACAATGAAGGGCTCTACAAACTCTTTCATGTCCTGTTGTGTTGGGCCCAATCTATGGGTAACCCGCTCTCCAAGCACCTCTGCCTCAACTTGGTGGTTTTCTGCCTGCACCCCATGTTCTTGCCATTACCCTGCTCTGAGATAAAAATTCTGGAGCTGTAGCAGGAGAGGGGAAGAGCAGACTGATTTGAGCACAGTGCCATGGTGTGTCAGCTCTCTGGTCCCTGGGCTGGCTGTGGCATGTGGCCAGGTGTAGCCAAGCATGGGCAGCAAGGTTTGGATCTGGTTCAAACTTAATTTTGTGGATTGCATGCCTCTCTCCCCGAGCAGGGCAGGCAGAGGGAAGCACTCAAGCAAGAATCCTATATTATGTTTAGTCACAGAGCAGCCAAGATCTACTGCTGTTCTTGTGCGGCTTTATAATTTGGCACAGTTTCATCCCAGGTTACCCAGAAATACAATGTTTAAATTCAGTGAAGTTGCTTTGATTTTACTGGATTTGGCTCTCATGGTTATGGCTCTTATTTCTTGATCTGGTCCTCACAGTTTTAGAAGACGGGGGTAGTACCAAACGTGTGTACGAAGTTATATGAGAGGTTAAAATGAAAGGAATACTAAAGCTATTCCAAGGTAATAGTGCTGTGGAAAATTGTTTTTTCACTTAGATAAACATCTGCTCAAAGCTGATGGCCTGTCTGTTGGTAATTCACAGCCTGTTCTTCCTAATTTTTTTAAAAACTCCTGTGTTCTGACAAAGCAGCTTTACAATCATTCCTTTGCCTATGACACACTCGGAGTTAAATCAGTCACTAACAGCAAAATTCAAATACACAGTTATACTGTGCTGCTCTTCCATTTTTATCTCTGTAAATGAAATGTAGAATCATAATTTCGCTTTGGCTCACATTAGTAATAAGAAGATACAGCTTGGCTTTATTTAATCCAACATCCATCAAATATGTGAAAAGAGGCAGAAATATCTGTAATAAAGAATTGTTTGATATAAGGCTAAAATGAAGTCTAAAATTGCAGTACCTGACCTGTTGTACTTGGGCTGGTGATGAGTCACCTGTATTTTCAGAGCTGTGATTGATACCTTTGTTCTCAATAACAAAGGTGGTGGTGGTGGTTATCTCTCTCTAAATGGTTGAATTTATGTCTTTCACTGTGTTTATTTTGCAGCCTGTTCAGACAATGCAGCCATCTTCTCAGTCAGTCCAATATCCAGCAGTTTCTTATCCTCCCCAGCATCTCCTGCCAGTCTCTCCAACGCAGCAGTTTTCTGTGGTACTAAAGATTTTCTTTTTTCTTTCCTTGAAGCTGGGGATGTGAGCATGACTATGCCCAGGAGCCTCTGGGGAGCACTGCAAGGATGGGTGTCCGACATGAGAACCCTATCTAAATAAATACCCATTTGCCTTAATGCTTTTGGTACTGACAAGCATTTTGTAAGAACATTCCCACTAATTCTGGTTAGCTAACCTGAAGGATGTTGCTAGGAGCAGGACACTCTACATGGTGAGCAGAGCCTCCAGAAAAATATTTTGTTGTGCCTCTGATAAGAGCTTATGCCTTGTCACTTAATGTTAAGGGATCTTAAAGTGCTAACTCCAGTAGTTGAGATTTAGGTTATCTCTCTTTTATGTCCACAAACACTGGAGAAGAGACCTCTAGAAATCATTATTTTTTTATTTTATATTATTTTATCTGTATACTAAATCCCTTGCCTGGATTTATTCCCTGATGATACCAGAGGACTTGGGAAAGAGGGTAGCAGTGAACCAGCTGCAGAAGGTGTGGTACGCTGTACAGCATGACAACACACCAATGGACATGTATAATTAAAATAAATAGAGTGCTCTTCTAGAGTCTGATTCTGCCTTGGTGCTTACCAGGGCCAAGATTATACTGTTCTAAAATGAAGCTGACATTTTAAGAGGCACTACAAAATTTTTTTCTGTTGTTTTTCTCTCTTGCTCTAGTAATCTTGTTTATGACTGTTTTTTTTTTTTCCCAAGGTAGAGATGTCATGTAGTTATAGTAAGAGCTAGAAACACAGCTGAGTGGATCCTTGCAGATAAAACAGTGTTATTAGTGCCTGGTAGATGAATGGTACCATTTAAAGGACAATAAAAATTATTCTGTGCTGAAAAAAAGTTGCATATCTCACTATTTCTCTTGAAAAGTGTGTTGCAGGAATATCAGGTTGTTCTAGTGTGTGGTGGGTTTGTAGTCATAAGAAGGCTGATATTTTTATTGGCTAATTTAATAGTGCAACTTCACCTGAATTAATGTCTTCAATGTACATTACATTATAAAAATACTGTATAAATTATCTTGTTTTGAAGCTCTTGTTCTTTATTGGGCAAATCCAAAGCCATTCCTGGCTCAAGGAACTTTCTTGTAGAATCTGTTTGCAGTCATTTGCCATTCAGATAACAAATAATCTAGGTTTTTAAAGGAACACCTTCAGACAGACAACTTATGTGCCTGAATATGAATGTAGAATGATAGTAAAGTTAATAGCATTACTTCCATATACCACTTGATGATCTGTCAGGAGTGATTAAAGTGTTGATCCATGGTATCTGCTCTCAGAGTTGGGAGGGTGAGTCTCTGTGCAGTCTCTGTCAGTGCTTTCCACAAGCAACCTTTTTTTTCTTTTTACGTATTTTGAAGTTTCCTGACATTAAATGCTTTGTGCTGGATGGTTTTGGAGAATGAACACCACCAGGCTGCAAACAAAACTGGAGTCTCCTTTTAAAAGATAATATGAATGTTCTAAGCAAAACGCATTTTTATAATGCTTATTTCCTATCTGTAATCTGAATATTAGCATACAATAGAGTTTTATGTTGAGTATTTAAAAGTCTTATGATATGGGCATTAACGAAGATGCCTAGAACCACATTTGTAAATCTTTGACCTTCACAGAATAAACTTGAGATCACTTAATAGTATGACTCTTTTTGCAAGACTGAACAGATTCTGTCCAGAATGCCTGCGTTATTACCAGCATGTAATGAAACTTAGGTCCATTGACTTTATTTGATACGTTCATCCTACCATAGATTCTTTTTTCCCCCTCCAGTCAAATAAAGTACTTATTTCTTTCCAATGCAGAATAAAAAGCCTTGAAATAGCAACATAAGGCTTAGCTTTTTTTTTATCTTCTCTGTGTTTACAACCTTGGATTTTCAAAACAGTCCAAAAAGGGAAAGGTCTGCACCTGAATCCTATTGAATTCCTCTTGGGATCAATTTGAAACACAGGTGAAATTACCAGCATGTGCTTGGCTGACAAATTCTGTGTTTGGGGATAGAGGTATTCTTAATGTTATTTTCATGCCCTTTGTATTGAAAATGTCTTCTTTTGAACACTGTAAAGTTCACTTGTCATTTTGGAAAAGAAGGTGAGGGGGGCAAGGTAAGAGCCAAAATTGGCTTTTGTGCCAAATAATGCCATTCACCTTGCAGTCTAGAAATATTTGTCAAAGCATTTATAGTGATTTTGATTTTAATTGCCTCCATTTTTGTAGACATCCATGCAAAGTTTGGCATAGATTTGAGCTGAGCAATTCCTTTTCCCCTCATGCTCTGAACCTATTTTGTTTTGCTAATTTGTGTGTCTACTGCAGACATCATGTCTACATCATTTTCTACTGCCTTTTGCCCTGCAGCGAGATGACATGACAGCACAGTTTAACCAGATGAGCTTAAGTCGTCAATCATCAGGAGACAACCCTGAATCGCCTTCTGGTCCTGTCTACCCATCGCCTCTCTTGCAGCAGCCTGCCCAGCAGACAAGTTACATTATGGCTTCCCCAAGTCAACAGCTTCCCCCGGGAAGCTTTACAGGTTCAGGTCCACCAGTATCCCAGCAAGTGCTGCAGCCGCCACCACCACCCCAAGGCTTTGTGCAACAACCGCCACCACCTGCTCAGGTAGGCAAAACCTTCCCTACCAGTTTAGCATGGAGCTCTTTGTAACATCAGAAAGAGAACATAAAAATTCGAGATTTCCCCCCCACACCCCGATAAGAGCTTAGCAGATTTTTAGGCAGCAGCAAACTTGCAAAGCATCTATCATTTCCTGGATTTCATTAATCCCTTCCTTATCCTCAAAACATTTTCTGAACATATGTTTGTACTCCAGGACACATCTGCACATGAATATGAAGGAGGAGAGTGAGTAAATATCCATGGTCCTTTTTCTCTGTATATATACCAAAAGAGCAACATGCACATCAGCCCAGGTAGTCATTAATCATATTTAATTGACTTGAACATGTGAGATGTCACAGATCAGTAATTTTAACTGTCTTCCTGAAGACTGATTATGTTTTACTGTTCACTACCAAACATCTCTGCTTGTCTCCTGGGTACCTTTACAGAATATTGAAAGTGATTACTGTCAAGAAGTAAAATGCACAGATGACTTTCTGGCCAATTTTCAAGGCATACACATTAAAAAGACAGATTTCTTTATCCAATTATAGATAACTTCATTTAAACTCTACTTTAAATGGCATTAATAGTATTTCTTCTGTTTTCATTTTGTCCTTTGGAAGAAAATATATAAAAATAAAGTACAAAACTTCACCATTTCTTTTAATGTAAATGTATTATAAACCCTGCTAGTTTGGGTTTTTTTTTCTTTGTTTGTTTACTGCTACTTACTGAAAATCTCCATTTGTGTTTGTTAATGGAATTCTGTATTGCCACAGGAATGAAGAATTTTCATTGTTACAATGTTTTAAGTGGCCTAAAGATCTAGTTAATTAGATCACTAATTATTAATAAAAGAAAGCTGAGGACTACTGGATGCTGACATCCCATAGAGGACATACATAGTTTCTGTGGTTAGAAAATATCTGACTGTTTTTTCTCAGAGAAGGCTTGCCAAGAACATGTTTTAAGGGGCTGAAGTTCAATATAATGTGATTTTTTTAAAAAATGAAATTATTACTAGAAAAGATATTTCATAGTTTGCCAAATGTAGTGGTTTTTTTTTAATTCAGGAAAGAAAAAATGAACTAAAGGGCAGAATTCCCTGGTGTATCTGTCTCTCCACCTAGATTGTGCTCCCTAAGTGAGTAAGTAGAGGCTTTCCAAGCTTCAGTCTTCACGTACAGCCCCCAGGTACTCTTAGTGTTTTCAAACATCGTTTAATCAAACCTCACGACACTTCTAGTGAAGCAGATAAATGCGAGCACCTCCATTTTACGGGTTGTCTCCGCAGCAGGCAAAGCGATATGTTTCCCAGCTCTGCTGGCCAAGGTTTGCCAGAAATTGTGGGGGCTGCAGCATCGTGCTACCTGCCATGATAGGGGACCCCAGACCGCCTCCTTACTCCTGTGGGTGAGACCAGGTGTGTGGCTCTCCCTGGGATCTCTGCTAGACCCCATCTCAGTTGACTTTGTATAGACTGCTTTGGCAGGTTTGCCCACAGCTCCTGCCTCCTGTGGCTGAGCCTTGGTGCGTGAGCCTTGGATTTCACCCTCGCATGTGCCGCAGGGTGCAGGGTTTTTACTCAGTATGGTGTAGTGTTCCTTGAGGAAGCTGTTTTCCCTCATTAGTACTTGCTTTGGCACTACTGAGAGGCAGGTTAACTTCTTCAGTGATGAGGAGGTGCCTTTTCATGTACAGGCTGCAGTAGGACTGGTACAGTACTGGTGTGTCTAATGGCCACTGTGTCTCTGACTGTAACCCAAATACGGTACTTATGGGTACTTTCCTCCTGTGCAGTAACAAAGTGGAAAGTTACTGAGAGCAGAAAAATATCTTTGTAACAACTTCAGTTATTTCACTGGGGAATGATTTTTCCTTGGGGTATGTAGAAAGGGTGAGAAATTCAGCACTGTCATCTTCCTCTGCATCTGCGAACACCATTTATCTCCAGCTTGTTGCTCTTCCAAACAATCCTTGTCAGATACCTGTGGAAAAGGGGACGGCAGGGTTTAGTCCCTGCTGCCTGTGTCCCTGTCCTGTGAAAGCACAGTGGCCTTGGTCTGCCAGTGGCAGAAGAAGGCAGCCACTCTGCATCCGCTTGCACAGAGGGGAAATTCTGAATCGACATTTCAAGTTTTAATTCATTCACTTCAGTCCTAGAATGTGGCACAGTGGTTTGGATACTAATTGTAGCATACTAATGTATGGAAAATAGGGGATGCCTCTTATAAAAAGATGAATGAATCCTTGGGAAATAGTAGTTCTTCTACCCTGAGAGCTCAGCTTTCTGTGCAGGTGGACTCCTTGTCTTGCCCGTGGCACAACTTCACTGTGGCAGTGGCTATTGTCAGTCTGAATCAGCTGTTGTTACTCTTTGGGGCTTAGATGCAATAGTAAGTCTGCTCTCAGACACCAAGGCAGGTGGTCTGAGGCAGGCTTAAAAAAAAGGGTGCAATAAAGATGGTAATGGAAGCAAAACATTACGTGATACATTAATCAATGCAATGCAATCAATGTAAAAGCACTTTTATATCTTAAATGTTGCTATTGAATTTATACCAGTGAAAAAGAGGCATGACTCTAATGACTAATTAGTTCCTGTAAATGCACTGCTGATAAGGCTGGCTGTGATGCTCTGTATGCTGTTGGAAAATAGCAGTGAAAACTTGGGTGAAGGTCCTCTGAGTGCGATCATTTTCTTTGGCAGCTGAAACGAGGAGAAAGAAACGCTCTCCAAGTCTACAAACACAGTAGTACTGCATTTAAATTATTATCTAATCTGTTAAAGTTCAGTTAAATGTGGCTCTACAGCTACTCTCCAAGATTCTTTCTCCCAGTCTGTATCAATGTAGAGACAGACTGGATTTGAAATGACATGCCTAAGAAGAGGTGAGAGGACCCCTTATGTTTCTTTTGCTTCTTCTTTCATCACAACTATTCCCTAGCTTGACAACAGTCATGATTTAGTAACCTGAAAATAAGAATCTATCTTTTTTCAACCAATAGAGAGAAAAAACAAAACCCTGGATTTGCTGAAAGGGACTTTTAGCAGCAAATGACTGTTTGCTTTATATCACGAATTTCAAACATACATCTTTACTTCCTCTATTTTCGTTTTTCTTCTCTTTCTGGTGTTTCTTCTATAGTGCTCATGGGACCAGACACTTTAGCAAGGGTCCACATTCTGTTTTGCAGTACTCTATCAATGGTGCTTGTCTTTGCCTCTGCAAATGAAGAAATGGAAAAAATGGTAGTATTGTGCCAATGGGAAATGATATCCTCCCTTAAAAGTTATTTTCACCTCTGTCTTATTCTTTGGCAAAATGATGTCCAAAAGTGAGATGGCATGAATTCTTGGAGAGGCCTGGAGAGGCCTCAACACATGTTGAGGGATTTTTCACCTGGATTAATGTTATGTCATCATTAATTTTAGCTGTCTCTTTGCAGAAACCCCTCCTGGAGAGTCTATAGCTACCCTAAGACAAAATCTTTGTTCATAGCTTGTCTCCTCTATGAAACTTGTTATGAAGAAAGTTGGGGAGTCACTGCAAATGAACAGGTCTTTCCTGTTCATTCCAATCTCGGAAAATTATATTGGAGTACATCCTAGAGTTATCATACACAAGCCATTATTTTTTGTTACTGTTATTGTAAGTATTGGCGGAGGGGGAGGAGAGAAAAACCCTTGAAGAATGACGGATCCCAGTCAGTTAGATACTAGGAGGAAATGGTACCTCAAAGTGTCCATACATCACTGTGGTTTCTCTTGCCTTCTTCACTCCCATTTATGTAACTGTAGCTGTTGCATTAGCAATAATATCAGCATCATTAATCATCTGGATGAAGGTGTTAATCCAAGCCTTACTGGATATCAGCAATTTTAAGAGAAGGTGGAATACCTGTCTGATGACTGAATCAAGATGTAAGTCAGTAGGGAGGTAGTTTATGAAAGTAAAATTATCCTGAGAGGTTTCTGGAGTCCTGATCCTACCATGGGAAAATATACCAGTGAATTTCAGGGGTGCTGCTAGAGAGCAGTCCAGGAGACACCCAGCCTCATAATGGGTTTCAGACTGTATGTAGACAGAACAAAATGGAAAGCCAGTGCTGTATGGAGTCTCTGCATGTCATCTATAAACAAAGCACATTAGAAGCAGGAAAAAGTAATGTCTGTCCGTGCCATTTCTTGAGTGTCTCTTAAGTGACGTGCCCAGTCCTGTTTAAACTTAACTTAAGTAAAGTACTGAATAGGAGAGAAAAGTAGAACTCGGTGGAATGATCAGCCTACATACAAGGAAGGTATTCACCTTCAAAATAAGAATATCCAAGGAATTGGATATTTAACTCTTTCCATGATAATTATTAAAAAGGAGGGATTTTTCACAGTGTCAAGGATTAAGATCAAGAAACTATGCTTTTAAACTAAAGAACGTAGCCTTTACTTAGGCTATGCTCTTAGAAGCACTTTTTTTTTGTAATTAAATTTTTTTTTTAGGATAACCATATATCTCTCTTGGTATGCTTGTTAATGCCATGGAAACTTTTGCAAGCAAAAGGTCCAAGGTTAGATTGTGCATTTCACGTGGGAAAGCAATTCAAATATAATTTGTCATTGTCATTTCAGTAGCCCGCTACAGAAATGTAATTTTTTTTTTGTTGAAGAGCACGTAAGTAAAGGTGTTAGTAACACTGATGTAATGAGAAACTAAAAAAATTCAAGAGGATCATAGTAGATGATGTAAGTGATACATGTTATCGCTGATCCCTCTAATTCCACTGTTCACTAAAGTAGAATCAGAAAGGACAAATAACATGTTGCAACTACTGACACAGAGATGTACTCAAGATAAATGGAAATGGATCCTTCCAAGCCCCTCAAGCACAAAAGACCTATTTTAGACCATATCTATATTTTATACCAAGCCCTTCTTTTAATGTCTCATTTCATAGCTGGGCTTCGCGAACAAAGATTTGGGAAGGCTCTAGCCACATTTGTTACAGTCTTTTAATGTCTAAGCTCTTTAAAAAAAACAAAACCAAACAAAACAAAAAATCCCCCACAAGCAACAACAACAACAAAAACCCCAAACCAAAAAAACAAAATCCACCCCACAATATAATGTATCAAAACCCAGACCTCTTCTTTGCAAGTCATGTGTGCATGATTACTGGCAAATCATCCATTAATCTTTATAAATGAAATAATTTTTTTTTACCCTTCTACTACTTACATTTTTCATGCTGCTAGATTGCACTCTAATAAGCTTCTAAGTGGGTTATATAACAAATGTATTCCAATGAACTGAGAAAATGAGAGAAAGGGACAAAGCCATTTGACTAACTCTGAGGTGTTATCTGTAGGGTAAAATATTTGTTTTTGCACTCAGCATGTTCAACTATAAACCCCACTTCACAACCTATGTTCTTCAATATTTTAAAGTTAATACCTACAGAATCATTCCCCAAGAGATAATTCTCGTTGTTCTCAAATGCTCTTGTATTTTCAAATATCTGGGGGCTTGTCTGCACAAGGAAAGTGAGGAAGCTGAGGGTAAATCAAATAAATTTAAATCCTTTAAGCGAGATTAAGATGCTGGCAGGAAAAGTGAGAGTATTTCCATGGGGGTTTAATATTCTTTAGTTTGTAGAATAGAAAATAAAGAATGTTTGAAAGAATGTCTATTCTGTTCCCCTGCTCCAAGGAAGGATTAACTATTTGCATTGATTTGACTTAGAATGAGTCTTCTCATTTCTTTCAAGTCTACTGTGGTAAAGTGTTGCTGAAAACAATCATCTCTCCACAAGATGAGTTTATCACACGAAACTCTCCTGATCCACAATTTACACTGCTATGATGTTTAAAGAATGATTTGCACCTTAAATGTCTGGGTCCACTTTACTGTCCCTTTTGACTTTATTTTGCAGAGAAGCGAATTCATAATTGTGTTGTCCATTCTACAAAGGCATTTTGTTTTTGTTACTTTAGTCGCTAACAAAACAAATTGCTTGAGTGCAGGCTGTAGCCATTAGGTGTCGCTTGGTATTGTCTGGAGAGAGGATAGCTTACAATGTTTTCTGATCGAAACCTTGTTTTTCTCATACTTGTCTGAATCTGGTATTAGCAAAGTGAGGAAAAAAAAAATGCAATTGGTTGAAGAAAAAACTAGCAGACCTTGAAGAAGGAATGGTTATTCAGCCGCCTGATTGACAGATGCTGTTGACTGTCAGTTGGTCTAGGGGGTTAACTTTACCAACACCACCAAGTTCAGCTCGGTTAATCCTAATACTTTTCCTACCACAGTTACCCATTCAGTAGTCTTCTAGTTGCCCAAGTAGCCATCTATAGCCTCTTCTTGCCTAGACTTTTGTGTCTATGCCTTTTTTTCTCATCTGAGATTGTAAAATTTCCAAGGAAAACTTCTAATCTCTTTTATGAGAGAATGTAGGTACCTTTACTTTGCTAACACTTTATGGGTGATCAAGTTGAGTGAGCTGTTTGAGGAACATTTCTTCCATGCAAATAGAAGTGGCAAAAGTAGTTCTTGGTTTTGTATGAAAAAAATAAAAGCGTTTGGTATGATTCTGTGCATATGTCTGAGTAGGATAAATCCTACACAAAAGTGAGAAAAAATTTGAATGACTTTATTAAGAAATGCTGACAGTTGTGGCAGAAGTTGCAAGAGAAGCAACGTTCTCCTGAGCCTGTGCCCCTCTGCAGTCTGTTCATACCGTACACTGCCAAACTCTGTCAGGTGCCCACAGCATCCCTGGCAGCTGAAAATGAAAAATTTTGAGTGTTTTGAACTTGTGAGGGGTCAGTTGAGAACTTTTTAGCTCGAATGTCTCAGTAACAGTGATATAGCACGTATAGGAAAAATATTTAGCTTCAGTCATCCTCAAACTTGCGTGTTCGCCTCTGTGATAAAATGATGTAGTGCACGTTGCTCTTTAATGACAATAATAATAGAAAAAAGAAACCCATCTAGCAGAACTTGCTGACTTAATGCCTACCCTTAGCTCCCGCAAGAAAACAACTTTGTTTTTTGAACTGTAACTGTTTTCACACCAAGTGCAAGAGAGGCTCGAGAGGGAAATGTTCATATAAGGAAGGATGTAGCTGTTATCCAGACACGTGAATTTAATGATTGTTTCCTACGGGTGTTTAGGGCACACACATTCCATCTTGGTCTCCATGTCACTTCTAAATATGTTTACTCTAGGCCATTCTGTGCTTCGAATGGACCATTTTCTCCACAGTTCATTTAATGGTTCAACATGCTGTCTGTATGTGTAATGTTGATACAGAAGGTATTGTTTGCATCCATTTTGCTGCAGCTTTTGATATTGTAGTGTGATAAAAAACTACTGTGGTATTTTTTCTTTGGTATATGCATGTAGCTTTTTATGAATTCTGTCTGATTTTTGTCTTTTTCAATTAAAACTCTGTTTTTTCCTGTTTCTTGAATTATCTGAAAAGAAATGTGGGCACTGATACCCCTTTTCCTAGCAAAGCTGGAAGCAAGCGGTGATTCTTGATGAGAGAGACAATGCAAACCACTTCTCTTGATTCGTGTTACCACTAATATGCTTGACTCGAACTCTTGCTCCTCTTTCAGTTTTGTTTTATTTTATGAATCTTTGATCTTTAGAGTTTACAGTTAGTTGCTGTTCTCTTTCTTTGCAGATGCCAGTGTATTACTACCCATCTGGTCAGTACCCTACCTCAACAACTCAGCAGTACAGACCCATTGCCTCAGTTCAGTACAACGCACAGCGGAGTCAACAGATCCCACAGACTGCACAGCAAGCAGGTATGTACATCTGTTACTCATTTCTTCAGCTACTTGCAGTGTCGTTGCTGGTGAAATCTATTGGTTGTGTTTTAGTTGAACAGTGGAGAGGAAAGCTGGTCACTGTTCTGTTTGAAAATACGATGAAAATTACAAATTGGGAAACGTTTTGCTTGGACATACCAAGCAATGGAAGAGCAGAGATTGCGTTCTCCACCCCTGCTGTCCTCCATGCAGTGCCGTGTCCTCAGTGTCCATGCTCCGTGTGATGGGGCAGAGAGAGGGAACTGGTGTGGGCAGTCACATTGCATGTTCAAGTCAACTGTTGTGGTAGCCCTTCATCGTGGAAACTCCTCAAACGTTTATATGACTACATAGCAGACAGGTCTTCAATGATGCAGAAAGGGCCAGTTGTGCTCTACCACCTTCTGCTCTCCCCGAGCGTGAGGAGCGGCAAGATTGTCTGTGTAGTTGGTGCCCATGGGGACCAGTTTCCCACAGCGACGTGCGGCTGGAACGGGGGCCGTTACACTGTAAGAGAGTGAGTAGCAGGTCTCACAGTGAACCGGTCTCTTTTCCTGCTGTGTCATGTCACTCCAGATGACTCCAGAGTAAGAGGGAGATGGGGAGAACTGGGTTGGTGTGTGTCACAGGAGAGCAGGAACTGTGGTATTGAGGGAGTCGCTCTCATTTCAAGGCAATAAACAATTCCGGTGTTGGAGATTTTTTTGAAGTTGTTAAGTGTCTGTTTCTTTATCACATACCTCCCCCTACAGGGTGTCCCAAACAATAACTCCAGGTGTATGGTGGGGGAGGTGAAAGGGAGGGTGTTGCTTTCCCAGTAGGACTTGCAATTACAGACGTGCCAGGTAGGACAAAGCATTCACTGTTTGATCTCAGTTTGGCAGAAGCCCTTCTGAATGGCAAAGCAGATTCCCTGCAAAGGCATTGATGTGAAAGTCATTTAAGATGCAAGTCAAGAGCCCAGACATGAGATGTGAGCAGGTCATCCAGCCTGTCAACCTGTCTCCATAATGTGACTGCTTGCAATTTTGTTCCACTCTCTCAGGCACTCAGGGAGACAAAGACACAGCAAACACAGCTCTAACTAAGCAATTGATTACTTTTTTTTTTATGCTGTTCTGTGTTCTAATAAAATTGGTGACATTTTGGTTGGTGTCAGTGGTGCCTGACTGTGTCTGCTTTCATATCTTCATGTTATACATTCCTGAGAGAGAAGAGGGTGAAGTATTGCACAAAGGTCATCTGTCTCTTCTAGCTTCTCCTGCCTGACAGTCTGGTATCATATTTATTATCTCTGTATAGTGGGTCTGTGAACCTAAGTGCAAATCAACTTAGGTGACATTATCTGTATCTACTGTGTTGTTATGAAACCATATTTATCAGTTTAATGCTACATCCATAGCACAGTGGAGATTATGGTAAGTGCAGTCCACAAGAGATGGTCTGAAGCACGAGTGATGTTCTGGAGAAGATCCAACTGTTTAATCTTGAGGAAATTGTATTTTAAAGATATATGGTAGCACAGAAGCTCTTGTGTTTGAGTACAGACAATGCAGAGATGCAAATGCTAATTTTGTTTCAGTGTTTACTGCATCGTTTTCCTTACATGTTTGGAAAACATGAGTCAAAGAGTTTGTGTAAAATCTCTAGTGCATCAGTCTTTTCCTGCAATTCACTCTTTCAGCTGCCTACTCAGTTGGAAGCATTATTTTTATCTCATGTTTAAAAATGAAAACATTGTGACTACTGTTTAGACTCCCTGCTGTGGTGATGATAATAAGTGTTTAGCTATTCTCAGATCTTGAGAATTGGCTGAGAACAATTCCGCAAACTGGTTCATCCCTTTGGCCTCAGATGCATCCTTTCCCATAGTCATTGTCCGACCATGTGATATATGTGAGAGGATGAAGCTTGCAGTTTCCTACAGATTGTGTAAGGAACGTTCAGATTTGTGTTCAACTGCAGCCCTTGGAATTTGGAAAATAAATAGCTTTCCAATATGTCACAGGAGAATTAAAAGTATAGGAAAGCGTACGCTACAGATTTCTTGCAGGTGGTGCACTGTGAGCGCTGAGACATCAAAAACCCAAATGATTCAATGATAGTTTCAGATGGTTTCATGCCTGGTATCATCACTGCATCTGCTTTTCTTACCATCAGCCTCCTCACAAACATTCATTTTGTTCCTTATGTGCCTCAGCTCACCTGCAAACTCCTCATCTCTTTTGACTCCTCTTAGATGCCCAGTAGCTGCTTGCTGGGCAAGAGATGGTGTTTCACCACCGCAGCAGATTGACTGCTGGCACCTAAACAGCAAGTAGCTTCTGGCTCCTGCTGTAGCCTATTGACAGTAGGGCAAATAAACTGGGTTGCATCTCTCTTCTTTCAAGACATTGATTTTTACAAACCTGAAGAAATGTCATATCTTTGAAGATTTCATCTCTCCATCAAATGTGATAGAAATTAGAAGATGAACTCAAAACGGTATTCTGAGGGTTGTTTGAGGAAACCTAGCAGAGTAATCACACCAAAAAATCCTTTTAAATCTTTGTAGAGACTTGTATATGACCAGAAAATAGCAATCCACAAGTGTTTCAGAGTGTAGTTTTCCTTCCCACACAGACTTAGCTTTAGATCAGCACGTGAGGAGCCAGGGATAACCAGGGACAGGAAAAAGAAGACATGAAGGACAATAGTGCTGGTGAAATAGAGCTCAGGGCAGGAATATTGAGGATGGGAAGAGTGAACAGATGGAAAGGAGGCAGACGAAAAGATGATTTCTGAAATAGTTTCCCCAAAGACCTCACATCACTTGCTGCTGCTTCAGAGAGAGGACAGCTGTGGTGCAGGCAGGCCCATGAGAACCCCAGCTGGCTGCCTGTACCTGCCAGCTAGCTCATATTGACAGCATGAGCAAGGAAGCAGCTTCAGCCTGGCAGCTCAGAAAACATTTTACTAAAATAAAAAAAGTTTGCCTTCTTGGAAGAGCTTTTGGAAGCTTGCAAAGCAAAGAGTTCAGTTCTCACTTTCCCCACTTCAGGATGCAGAGGTCAAAGTTTGATCTAATGCCAGCAATTTGTTTTCATTTTTGTTAGAAAAGGTCTCTTCAGGAGTGAGGCAATATTGATGACTTTTACAGTGAACAGCTAAAGTAAAATGTCAGCACAGCATCTGTAGTGGCTGAGGGAGCCTTTACTCTCTCGTGGCTCTGGAAGCAGAGCAATATTGAGTTTAAATGGCTCCAGGGCAGAAAAAAAGATGAGCTCACCTAAAATTAGATTAGAGCTCTGGCAACAATAAATCATTGGAGAGAAGGATGAAAACATTTTGCGTGTTTATTTACCTTTTCTATTTTTATTTTTATTTGCTTAAGTGCTGGCTTATATGAGAACCTAAGTGACCCATTTCTGGCAGAAGCCTAGTACAAACAGTGTCATCCATGAAGATTTTATGAAAACCTCTGCCATTTTTGAATTGTGTTCATTTCTCTTCAAGCCAGAATGTGGTACCTGACCATGTGGTGTCATTGTCTGTAAACAGAAGTAGATTTGTTTCACTCAGACACATGCCATGGTTGCTCTTCTTCATTACGCTTCTTCTGCACCATTCTTGTGTCCAGTCCTGCTCAATGGAAAGTTTTTAAAAATGTTGCCATTAAGTGGGGCCAGGGTTGAGCTGGTGTCTGTCACACACCATGGCATGTGTAGGACATCGTAAGTGCATTCTTAAGGTGTGTTCAGGCAGGTATTCTCAAAAAGAGTATGCTCATTTTTCAAACATTTAGGTATGTTGCTGTTATTAATTTCTCCACTCTGTAAGAAATGATACTTGAGATACTGTGAATTCCCCAGTTTTGTAACCTCAGAGAAGAGAATATTATTTCTGTATTCGCATGTAGCAGTATTCTGTAAATTGCACATCCTCAGTTTTTCATTTTTCAGTAATTATCTCCATATTGATAGTTTTGAAAGCTTTCAATCCTAGTTATTGTGTTTGAATAGAAAAACAGAGGTGTATTGATGATAAATCCATAATTATTTTTATTTTATCATGATAATAGAAATCAGCAATGTGTTATTTTATATCTGTGTCTCTATTTTCTTTCATTATAGCAAAAGCTGTGCACTTTGAGGATTTTTCATCTCTGAAGTGCTTCAGAAACATGAGCTGGATAAATACATGAGTATTACCTTGGGATGTGCAACTGTTCTTACTGCTGTTCACAAATGAACAAGCTGCAACATATTACATGATTTTTTTCCTAGTTTAGTTCATTGTTGTAGGTTTGTGTCATGTTCCAGGTAATTTCAGAGGGCAACAAAACTTTGAAGGATAAAATAGTATCTATATTATTAAAATAATATTTATATTATTATTATCTTGTTTAGGCCTAGTTCTAAAAGACTATTAGCTTGGTTTATCACACCGTTGTAAGGTAAAAGTCTGTGGTGTGTGTTTTGCATCAGCAGTGAAGATCATCTTTTGAGGAGATTAAAGCTAAAATCTATAGTACTCCTCTAGTAAATCTTCCAGCCAAAAGTTTACACTGCAATATTTCCAGACAAAAATAAGATGCTATTTAGCATAATTGGTTGTTCTGTAATACCTGTAATTAATTTAATGATTTTAGGATTTCTCACGCATTCAAGAATCAACAAATATTGCCATTATAACCTGTTTTGGTGCCCAGATAGCATGAAAAGCTCAGACAGCATAGAAAATCTTTGCTTTTTCCTAAAAGCAATATAGTTGTTTTGTGTACAGTAGGCAAACAAAGTCCTTATGTGACGAAAGTATATATCTGAACACTGCCTGGGTGTAGAATCCTTTCTTAATCAGTATACATGGATCTTCTCTAAGCAGAAAATGTTTGTCTTGAAGGAAGGGTAATATTTCTGATGGACTGCTATATTATTAGCCTTTACAGCTTACAGTAAGATAAAAGAGGTAATTGTCTCTTTAATGCATCTCAGAAGCAAATTTTAAGTGAAGACAAA